TGCTCTGCAACACATTCGGCGAACGCGCAAGCAACGCTGCGTGATTTCCTGTCCCGAGTGTACATGGGCGCAGCCATAAAAGTCACTTGATCTTCTATAGGCAGGCCAACCACACTGTCTATAACTTCCGCATTATCGAGTTGACCGCGAGGATCACACAGGAAAAACAGAGGATTTACTTCACAGACTTCCAGCAGACGCTTGATAAGGTACTCAAAAGGAACATCCCGCGGGAAATAGGCGGAAAACTTTTGGAAGACAGGATCGGGAGGGAAAATGCCGGCAGCGGTGAGCGGTGGTGGCTCAGTCTCCATTGCCTCGCGAATATATGGCAAATCGACTTCTTCTAGGGCTGTCACCAAGCCAATATTCGACTCAGCATCGTTGGTATCTTTCTTATCTTGCTGCGCAGCCGGGCGATAACGGCCAGCCCGACCTCCAATTTGCTTGATCTCGGGGACTGACAGCCTCACTAAACCTCCTGGGACTCTTTTAACTAAGGTCTCGAAGATAATGCGCTTGATACTCCTGTATCTTGGTCAGCAAAGTCCCATATGATAGTGTGCAATCAGTGCTTACAAGTTGAGACCCATGCCGATAGCATCACTCGCAACCAGGAAATCGTAATCGTTGTCGGGATCATTGAAGAGTTTGGCCTGCTGCGTACGAATCTCTGCTGGCAAGCTCCCGTATACAATCGCCGCTCTTCTGCCTGTAACTTTCTCAATATCTGCTTTCAGTGCGTGGATGCCGACGCGGGAGAAAGCAACTAGGCAATCTCCTTTCTGAAGATTCTTCAAATCGCCTCGAATACTCTGATCCATGACTTTGAGTGGGTTTAGTCGTTTGTACCGATGGATCTCGAGTCTGTCACCTGTCAGAGCCGCAAGCTCTCGAACCAAGGGCACGACTCTTGTTTCGCCGCAAAGATGAAGTTCCTTAGCCCGCGCACCAAGGACAGCACGAGTCCACGCCCAGCCACGTTTAGGGTCCGCGAGCATCTGAATCTCATCAATGACTCCGACGTCATACGGTTGTCCTAGATTGACCATTTCAACTGTGTTGCTGACAATGGTCGGAGTTTGCCCCTCCGGTATTTTAACATCGTCTCCAGTCACAAGGCTACATGGGATCCCGCTCGCCCGAAATCGATGGTACACCTCCTGCGCAAGTAGTCTAAGAGGCCCGGCGTAGAAGCCACTTTTGGAAGCCTGAAGCCGTTGTAACGCATGATAAGTCTTTCCAGAATTCGTTGGGCCAACGTGCAGGTGGATTGTCCGTTGCAGCGCTCGGGCTTGAGGGTACCATTCTGCCGGATAGCGCAAATCCGCAACCTTCTTTTGTTGTTCCAGACGGGGAGCAGAATACTTTGCAGTAATCTCTTCGGCGTGCATAAGATACCTCAGCTCACTCCTCAGACCCGAAATACCGGAGCTGAGATAGGCTTTCTGAAGTGTGGTTTTGACATGGCGTAGAGGGCCAAAAGCTTTCTGGCCCGACTTGTCTTCCAGCTTGCAAGCATTCAGCACATAGCGCTCGAATCTTTCCCATCCTGCCAAGGCCGGATCGGATGACTCTTTTAAGCTCTGCTTGTATTCTACTAGCTCGGACTCGACAATGGAGGCGAAGTCGCGAATGACAAAGGGTTGACTCAGAGGTCTACGGACGAGTGACCTCTTTTTCGAAGACTGTAAGGCAAACAGAGGAATCAGCAACCTCGTCAACTTTGAAAGAGCACAAATGAAGGTATATATTAGGATCTGTTACGCTTTTCTTTAAAGATTGCTCTACTGCCTCGGCTTTTTCTTGCTTAGCTTTCTGAGACTTTCTTGCCTTCTCCAATATGGGGCTCGTCGAGAAAGATCGCTGCACGGGACAAAATACAGGCCGCAAGGCACAGAAAAGGCAGCGGCTGCCTTTGCTGGTCCATGACTGCATTCCTTGAGCAGCTCGAAAGATATGCGAGGCGACAGAAGTTGTTCGAAATCAAAGTTCAGGGACTCGCTGAGAAGCTAGGTAGCGTCGCACCTGAATTGTCGCGGATCGTACATATGGGAGTCGAATTTGGAAGAACAGTTGCCAAAATATCTTCAATGGGTTATGAGATAAGGGTATGGTAGCACTGATCCCAAGCAAACTATGAGAATATTTGTAACAACACCCTTTTTTATCGGATGGCTTATCGAGAAGATAATAATTTGATACTGTCCAAAACTCCAGTCGCAAGAACCCACCGCCACACCGCATCGGCGATCCACCGCGGGTTTCATTCCATCCACCAGCAATCCAACCTTGCCGCTTTAGAGCGATGACGGATAGTGGGGACACTGAGGGGGTTCCTGAAGTCAACTGATACGTTTCAGAAAGATAGGCTTCGCTTTTGATTAATTCATTTGACTTTGGCTTCTATTGTTCCTCCTTTGGTTGTCACTTGTTTTATTTCCCTCCTGACAATCCAGATTGTCGCTGTAAGCTGCAATTACTACGCCTAGAGCCGGCAATCGCCAGCCTGACTGCACAGCTAAGGCTGCCAGCCAGCCAGGATGAGCACTTCAATTATAAACATCCAACGCGATGGTCAGTTTCATAATCTATGTCATTAAGGCCAAGTATGTGTCTTTTTGTTACTGACTGTTTGCTATTCCAGTTATCCTTAACACGATCCGTCATGCCGGAGGCAATGAAGTGCGATTAGCCCCTCTCTACAGTATACTGGGATGTATGACGGAGCTGACGGTTGCCGCTTACAGTGGAAAGTCTTGGTTGTGGACGAGACGAGTAGGAAATTGATATACAATGCGACCAATGATGACGATATTCTCAACCTCAATGTCACCAGTAAGCCTCTCACCGCGCTTCAACACAAAAGCGCATCGGCTAATAGTCCTTTCCTCAAGATGTCGAGCAGATCGAGCATAGGCGACCATCCAATCCCGACATGGATGCGCTGTACATCCTGTCACCTCAAACACACATCGTCGACTGCCTAATGGCCGATTTTGAGCGGAAAAGATACAGGCGAGCATGGTTGGTCTGGACATCAGGTCAGTCATTCGTTCGGATCGGAGACTCGACAGTGTAATCTGACATTGGATGCAGTCCTCGATCCACAGCAGCGCGCCAGGCTGGACAGGTCTCAGATGGCGCGCGAGCAGATTGCCGATTTCCGGGTCATGAACATAGACTTCTTTCCAAGAGAATCGCGTCTGGTCACCTTTCGAGATCCCTGGAGCTTTCCCGTTCTGTTCCACCCTGGCTGCAATCACCTGATTCGAGGACACTTGCAAGATCTAGCACAGAAGGTGACTCGACATTATGAATCTTTCTGAGCATTATACTGACTTCTGTCGAGGTTGTATCACTGTGTGTGAGTTTAGGAGAGTACCCGATAATCCGATACTACCGGCCTAGAACCCCTACCCACGAAGCTAGCGTCTTGTGTTCCCACCTCGCTCGATTCATTCAGAATGAATTGGACCAGTTCGCTCAATCTCAGAGAGACTTTCCTCCTCCTTCGCCGAGGCCTCGCGGTGTTCTTTTGCTGGCAGACCGCTCCATGGATATGGTTGCCCCCCTTATCCATGAATTTACCTACCAATCAATGGTGCATGATTTGCTACCCATCAAAGACGGGGATAAGGTCACCTACACCACTGTTATCAACACTGGCAGTGGCGGCGGGGAGAAAAAGGACATGGAGATCAATGAAGAGGACAATGTTTGGGTTGAATATCGGCATCAACACATGAAAGATGTGCTGGAGAAGCTGGGTCGAGACTTTGCGAAATTCAGGGAGGCCCATCCTCAATTCGCCGAAGAGTAGGTGACGTCTGAATTTCTTCCTGACTTATGGCTTTGTCTATGATTCATTGCCCTCGAGATGAGCCGGAAGGAATTGGGATGTGCTGACCACTACTATAGTAATGACAAGGCCAACGTGAACACGATCAAGGACATGCTCGCAGGCTTAACGGAGTTCCAGAAAGGTCGGGATGCATACACACTTCATCTTAATATGGCAGAAGAGTGCATGAAATTCTTCCAAGACCATAAGCTCTTGGAAGTCAGTTCAGTCGAGCAATGCCTTGCGACTGGTCTAGACGAAAACTATAAGAAGGCAAAGAACCTGGCTGCACAGCTTGTTCAGCTCCTCGATGACGATGCGGTTGTGCGTCCGGACAGACTGAGACTCTTGCTCCTCTACATCATGTACAGGGGAGGTGTCTTGGCAGGCGACATCCGGAAGCTCATCGCACACGCCCAACTAACACCACAGGACGGAGAAGTCATTTCCAATCTGGATCTACTTGGAATCAGGGTAGAGAAGCCACTGAAGGACGAAAAGCAGCCTGTTCAGCCGTTATTCCCTAGGAAACCTCCGGCTGCCACCGAGATGGACGAAGCCAGCCTTTCTCGATATGAGCTGAATGTCAAATTACTGCTAGAAGAACAGGTTCGGGGCACACTGGATCCTACACTCTTCCCCTTCACCCGACCTCATACCACAGCGGATGGTATGGCACAGCAGGATGCTATGGCGCAAGCGTCTCTGCGCAGCGCCAAACCAACGTGGGCGAGGACCCGCGGTTCTGCCGAGCAGCCACGGCAGCGAATCGTTTTGTTTATGGCTGGCGGAGCTACGTATGGGGAGTCGCGCGCCTGCTATGAAGCATCGCAAATGTTTGGGAAAGACGTATATTTGGCCACATCCCACATGCTAACGCCAAGCTTGTTTTTACGGCAAGTCAGCGATCTGAGTGCCGACCGAAGACGCCTAGACATCCCTGCAGAACGGCCGAAACCCACAGCACCTGCTCATCTGTTTGAGAAAGATCCTCCTCCGCCTGCACCGGTGCAACAACAACCGGCAGCCAAGAAAGCACCACCCCCCAATCTCAACCCTCCAGTGCCTACAGCCGCTATGCATGCGATGTCACTGGGACCCAACGCGCAGAAGGCCCCGGCGGGACACCGTCCGCCGGCCCCAAGCCCCATAAGGAAAAGAAAGAGAAGGAAAAGAAGAGATTGCACTTCTTCCGGTAGAATGTTTTTCAGGTGCTTTCCCTGAAAGACCTGATAACTGCGATTGCCATTCCTTTCCATCCCATTTAGCGCTGCTGTGATACCATCTCATACTGTGTTTCTGGCGCTGAATGAACATACCTTGATCTTCGTCTTCAGCTGACTTGTATGATAATGCTTTATAAAGTAAGCAGCCATGTAATGTACTATCTGCGCTAATTCTAATCATCAATCGGGTATCACGTAGTAAAAATTCTATCCGCATAAAAAGAAAGAAGGCCAGACCCCCAGTGCCATCGCGTATCCCAAACCACCCTATGCACCACCACTCAGGTACCGTTGCACATCATCATTCTGATAGAACATCTCCCGCAACTTCTCCCCTCTCCTCTTCGCATCAAAATGCCCCTTCCGCACCTGCTTCGCATTCAACCTCTGCACCTTGGACGGAGCAGCAGCACCACCAGTCACCCTTTTCTTCCCCTTCGCACTCGGCTCAGTCTCAGCCCCCAGCCCCACAGTATCAACCTTCAGTCTCCCCTTGAGGGGTTCCCTGATCCCCTCACGCCCAGGAGCCCCAAGACCCAATCTGCTATCCGGATCCCAACCATAAGCGGACAAATACCGGAGTCCATGACGGGTGCGGTCGAGATGAGACGGTGGATGCGAGTGAGATAGGCACAGCTGATGCGCGAGCGATGCTTCGTGTGGCCGGGCAAACCCTTTCTCATCTGTACTTTCTGTTTCCCCGTCAAGCGGGAGATTGCACACCTCGCATAGTTGGACCGGAGCGGGTACGGCGGAGGGCGAGGGCGGCGCGGAAGCTGTTTCGTTGCGCGCGGCGGGTTCTGTCGTTGGTCGGGGTGATTTTTCTTTCGGTAGGACGATCGACAGGTATTTGTCTGCTGGACTTAAGCCGGAGGTTGTGGATGGTGTTGTGGTGGCGGTTGTGGTTGTCGAGGTTGTGGTGTTTAGTTCATGTTCCGAGGAGCGGACGAACTGCACGCGCTTGCGACGGATTCCGGCACCGAAGATGCGCTGGTCTTCCAGCGGAAGGAAGTAATCCTCATCGTCGTTGTGGGACATACTTTGTCAGGAGCTTGGTGTCATTGCAACGCTGTTGTGACTCGTGAGGGGGAAATGCTGGTGATCTAAGATGTTGATGGTGGTGGTGGCGGGAGATCGGCCACTATCTGACTTCTGACGCAGCTCCGGCCGCTGTTTTTAGTGTTTCAGCGGGATTGCATTCCTGAACCTGTTCACTCTTTCACTCATTCATTTTTGTTGGTTTTTATTTTCCATTCGCTCATTTATTACTGGGTTACACAATGCCTATCCCCATTATTGTTCAGGGGATTCGGGAGGGTATAGATTCGATTCCATATGCCTACACAGTTCTCAAGATCGCGCCATGGGTGCTACTCGTCGCCGCCCTCAAGTACTATTTTGGGGGAGCTCGGAATGGCTCAGAGCGGGTGATGCACTCGAAAATTGTCATGATTACTGTAAATTTACCATGATCGCTCTGGCCCCATCAAGTATATTAACGGTTACAATGCTCTAGGGAGGGACATCAGGCATTGGCGCCAGCGTCGCCCATGAGCTTGCATTACGCGGCGCCCAGATCATCCTCCTCACCCACCACTCCCCTCCGACATCTTCCTGATCGATTACATCGAAGACCTGCGCAAGTCAACTGGCAATCAACTCATCTTCGCTGAACAAGTCGACCTCTCCTCCTTACATTCCATCCGGACCTTTGCGACCAAATGGATCGACAATTATCCCCCCGAAGACTCGACATGGTCATCTTGTGCGCTAGCACCGCCTTGCCTGCCTCCAGCCGGGGACAACAGACAAAGGATGGCTTGAATGAGGAGTGGCAGGTCAATTACCTGGGTAACTTCCACCTGCTTAGCATTCTGAGTCCCGCGCTCAAGGCGCAGCCCGCTCACCGAGACGTGCGGGTCATTTTCACCACATGCTCGAGCTACATTGGCGCGAAACTCGACATGAAGCAATTAGAGGCAGCGTCCAGCGGTTCTAAGCCGGCAGGGCGAACAGCGGCCAAGAAGAACGGAAAGACACAGAAGAAGGCATCCGCGGAGAAGGAACCCAGCCTATTCGGCCTGAGCAAACTCGCTCTGATGATTTTCGCAACCACCTTTCAGAAACACCTCAACGCATATCAACGTCCGGACAAACAGCCGAACGGTACCCGCGTTATCGTCGTTGACCCGGGCCTCAGTCGAACTCCGGGAACCCGTCGCTGGCTGACGGGTGGCTCGCTCTGGGGTCTGCTTATCTACCTTCTCACCTGGCCACTGTGGTGGCTTGTCCTCAAGTCTCCTCAGCAAGGTGCGCAGAGCATCTTATATGCCGCCATGGAGGCACGGTATGGCCGTGGCGCCGGCGGGTGGATGGTGAAGGAATGTCGGGAGGTTGATTTCTCCCGAAACGATATCAAGGATGAGGAGCTCGCGAAGAAACTTTGGGAATTCAGCGAAAAGCAAATTGAAGCGAAGGAGAAGGAGGGTGCACTCAAGCGTGCCCAGACTAAGCCGAAGGAGAAGGTCACTGACAAGGACAAGAGCGCAAAGCAGGAAAATACAAAGGGCTCATCAACGTCGGGAGCTGGCGCCGCAAAGGAGCAGACCTCTGGGTCCAGAAGGAGCCGTAAAGCAGATCAATAGATTATGTTGAAACCCCTCAGTTAGAGCAACGTGTATAGAATTACCTTGCAATTCTGGTTTTTGCATGTGTACAGGAGTAGAAGAAAAGAAAGATTAAGGCAACACATCCAATTATTTCTGCAATATGTACCTAAATCGAAGGGATATAATATAGATGTCACCAAGAAAAGGAAATTCGTATCTTTCAGTCTACAATACCTCATAAGTCTAAGCCAATGCGCTCGTGCACTTTTCCAGTCTTTCTCGCTCGCAGAGAACCTTTTAGACCCTTATTTTCATTCGCAATGATTATTTACTTCTTAAGCTGTTCCAGCAGCTCGGCGGGGGCTGTTGACGGTAGCCCTGGGGGTTGTTCTTAGTCCAGCGCCAGAGGTCCTCGCAGGCCTGCTCGAGGGTACGCTGGGCCTTCCAGCCAAGCTCCTTGTTGGCGCGAGTAGGGTTGGAGGTGAGGTTGAGAACGTCACCAGCGCGGCGGGGGGCAACCTCATAAGGAAGATCGCGGCCAACAGCAGCGGAGAAGGCGCGGATCATCTCGTAGACGGTGCTGCCCTTGCCGGTACCCAAGTTCCAGGCGCGGACGCCGGGGTTGTTGGCACGCAGGTAGTTGAGGGCCTTGAGGTGGCCATCGGCGAGATCGAGAATGTGGATGTAGTCACGGATAGCGGTTCCGTCGTGAGAGGCATAGTCTAAGCTTGCGTTAGCATAGTCCACTAGTCCTTCACTGCCTTGATGTCGAAATTGTGTGAACACATACCGTCACCAAAAACGAGCAGCTTCTCACGCTTGCCGGTAGCAACCTGAGCAAGAAGAGGGAGCAGGTTGTAGGGGACACCCTGAGGGTCCTCACCCATGATGCCACTGGGGTGAGCACCAGCGGGGTTGAAGTAGCGAAGGAGGGCAGCGTTCCACTTCTCGGCCTCATCCGCCTTGCCGGCCTTGGTGGCATTGTTGCGCTGAGCGTTGATCACATCGGTGATGGCGGTCTCAACGGCGAACTTGGTGTTTCCGTAGGGGTTGGTGGGGCCCAGAGGGCACTCCTCGGGAATGGGGATCATGTTGGGGAAGCGGGTGGCATCACCGTAGACGGTGGCAGAGCTGGAGAAGACAATGTTGGTAACATTGTGACGGACCATGGAGCGAAGCAGGCAGATAGTGCCGTAGACGTTGACCATGTAGTAGTCCAATGGTCTTTCGCCGGACTCGCCAACGGCCTGAAATAGACAACTATGCGTGAGCAATTGATCGCAATACACTTTCAGAGAGAAACAGAAGATAATACCTTCAGAGCAGCAAAGTGAATGACACTGTCAATGTCGGGGTGGGCCTCGAAGACCTTGTCGAAGCCAGCCTCATCGGTTACATCCAGCTGAACGAACTCGGCCTTCTTGCCGCAGATCAACTCGATCCGATTCAGAGCTTCCACAGAGGAGTTGTACAGGTTGTCGGTAACGACGACCTTGTAGCCAGCCTCGAGCAAAGCGAGGGTGGTGAAGGAGCCAATGTAGCCAGTGCCACTGTGGATAGACGCAGTGGTACGGAGTCAGCAATCTGGACTTGTCGATAGTGGGGGGACAAGGTGAGCTATTTTGGCTGTTACTTACCCCGTAACAAGAACTGAACCAGCAGACATTATGGCGACGACAGAGATTCAATTGACCGGGATAAGAATAAACAGACTACAAAAGATGACAGTCGCAGAAAGAAAGAGATGGGATGAATTAAAAGCAAGCAGAAGAGCAGAAAGAAGCAGGGGAAAGCCCGACGGGGGAGGGCAGCTGGAGATTTAAGGGGAGGACCAGCTTATTATCTTGGTGGGGGGACTGCGGACTGCGGACTGCGGAGGGGCGCTCTCCCAAACCCAGATTATCACTGAACCACTACGCTGACAGCCTGTGTCTTTTTCTTATCCATTACGCGGTAATCGCTATCTATTACTGCATTTTATCCATTCTTTTCTTCATCTGGTAGACTATTCCCTGAGTCTGACGGTGCCTGAGTCTGTGAGCCATGTTGCGCATAAGTATCATATCCGAATGATTTTCATTCGTTTGTTGATCGACAAAGGCCGGCGGCACAGTCAAACCAGACTAGAGAGGTACGCAGCGCCACGATGGTACGATCGGCCCTTTAATTAACTCTACAGGTGCGTGCATACGTATGACAGTCCGCCAACCGGGCAGGATGCAGATGCCTCCTGCACAGCAAGCATATGCAAGAGTCACCAATTGACCACTGTCAACCGAATTCGATCAACGGCTTGCGTTCGGCCAAGCCTCTAGGAATCCATTCGGCTCATTATCGCCCACCTTCGGGATGTTAGCTGCAAACTGGACCCTAGATACGGAGTATCTGTGACCGTCTTGGCTTGCAAGCCTGCAAGAAGGATTTCCCGGGGAGAGCAGCCAAGCTATTCGGCATTCGTTGCTTACAGTCATCGCTGAGTTCGCAAACTATCCGAGAGAAATCCGCTGTGGCAACTAGCTTAAATATTGAGATCTACCAACCAGGCAACCGGTGACACTGTTTGTAGGTTGCCAGCTGTTGTCTGTTGGACAACGAACTAAGGAACTGGATTGGAAGCGGGTCCAGAGGTGGACCAACTTGGCAGCTTCGACCATTCTAAGCAGACGATCTAAAGGGTCTAATCTCCAGAACCATTTAAATGGATGATGCGTGCGCAAAATGCCCCTTGTCAATTGACCACTTAGATGGCCTCACGTCCCCGACTACATAAATTTCAGTCTGAAGATCCTCTAGAGAGGTACATAGTACAATAATAGATGATACACATGCCTGGCAAACGCATGGAGTTTAGCGTAGTACTCCGCCATCAATGTCACCCTTTTACGAAATTGGATCTAGAACAAGGCCAGCACTGGTGTTGATGAACTGAAATCTGTGTAGCGCCGAAGACAAGATATGGCATCAGGGAGCGCGCAACACGCACACTCTGTAGAGAAATGAGCATGAATAAGAGTACATTGAGTGTGTAAATCCCTTTTTCCAGCCGCAAAGATACATGAGCATGGAAAGTCTCTTCATATGTGCGTTTTCGAGACCCACTAGAATTGTAAGGGTTATGTAGAGTTAAGAAACCCCCGTCCCTGCTCGGCTGTCATCCACTCCTGCACCCTGGATGACAAGCTCTATGACACAGCATCTGCGATGTCACGAATGAAGTCCATAACATGCAAGGGCAATGTCATCATTTGGAATTAGCATGAATGCCAATCAGACAGGACGCGCTGTGCGTGGAGTGGAGTCTTCTCCCGCTCTGTAGCACGCAACCAATATGGCAAAGCAAATAAACCATTCATTATATAGTATTGATTTAGCCGAGAAGTTCGACATCAAGTCCAATGGCACGCATAAATAGGTTGACGTTTCCTAGTCGTTGGCTGGCCATATCGGCGGGCAGCGTCTTGCTGTATGTCACTGTTTCCATCACACGATCCCTAGAACATGTTAGCACCCGTCTGGCAGGTCGTACATATCTTATGACAAACGATAAGACGTCGACAGGAAACTTACTTCACTGCAATGACCAAGCGCTGCTGCTGCTCTGGGCTCGCTCCGATGCCAACCGCTGCCAAAAACTGCCAGACATACATATCATCGCCAGCGTTAATCGACCCGGGGAATATATCGCCAAAGATTGGTTCGAGTGTGTCGAAGAGCACGTTGAATTTCTCAACCCATTGTTGCCAGTCACGTTCGGCGGCCTGCCCAGCTTCTTTTACAATCTCCGCGCGGCTGAGCAACATAGTCAAAATTCCCAATCCAATGCGTGTCTTGGCCACTAGCTGTACGTGAGTCTGCGCAATCACAAGACCCAGAAGCCCAATAATGATGTTGAATGGTGCCTCGTTCACATATCCCAAGAGGCTGGGCATGACAGCCTGAGAGAATAGATCAATGGCCTCTCTAACCGCGAGCGAAGGCTGACTCTCGCCTGGGACAGGCTGTGCGCTTCGAACCACGTCCAAGGTGTCCAAGTGGACAACGATCATTGTGAGGATTGTGACTCGTTGTTCTTGATCAATGTGACGGAAAATGCGTGGAATAGCCTTCTTGCCCTTGGGATAAGACAGGAAAGCAATAAATGGATGTGGAGTGTTAGTGTTAGGAACAATAGGCTCCATGACCTTGAGTTCTTGCCACAATTTCTGGTTCAAGGAACGGATCTTCTGGCGCCATTCCAAGTGCTTCTGGACGGCTTCAGCATCACTCTCGTCAGGCAGAGGGGGCATGGTGCGCTCCATGTCTTCCATCTCCATCAAAGTACTGTACACATTTTCAATGTTCATCAGGATGGACTTCCGATCACTGAGGCTCAGGTCCGTGGGTTGCTTCTTGGCAGCCTTGGCTCCGTCTGAGGTCTCGGGGCGCTTGATGTTGAGCATTGGCTTCGGCGCTTTGGCATTGCTGAAAGAGATCTTGCCCAGACTGCCCTCGATAATCAACTGCTTGTTTTTCGGTTTCGCTTTCGCCGCTTCAACTGCACGCTGAACCTGCTGCTGCATCCTTTGCATATGGTTGTCGGCACTCTGGAGATTCCTTCGCCCATGGCCACCAAGGCGGTTACCGGTCTGAAGCAGGTAGGTCTGCGCAAAGTGGCCAAGAGGCTGATGCGGATGCTGCCGAGGCGCACCACGGATCTGGCTGTAAACCTGGTAGTAAAAGTCCTCCGCTAAGACAGCCTCCAAGTCCGCATGCGCAACATTACCTGCGGCGGCCACAAGCTGTTGCAATTGGATCCGCGTGATGAAGTTCTTGTCTTGGGGAGTCATCAACCCGTTACCCTTTGACAGGAGGAATATCTTGTGATTGCGCTTTGCCCGCTTCGCATCCTCCATCAAATATGCCATGCGTTGTTCCTCCGTCAACTGCATCAGCTGCTGAGGGTTGGTGATCAAAGGAAGGCCGGTATTTGCTCCCTTTATAGCCTGCGGTGGCGGATGCTGTGGCGGAGGCTGCTGCACTCGCGGGGGGATCGCCTGACGCGGCGGAGGTGCCATGTGTTGTGGCAGAATATTGGCATTTTGCAGGAGATGCAATGGCACATTTGGCGCACTTGGTGGTAGAGAATATGGCTCTGGCACCATGGATGGATGGTGCAGAAGATGTGCTGGCGGCACATCTTTGGGAAACTGGGCCTGGAGAAACTCGGGCGGCAGTTGTGAAAAGGCTTCGGGAACGTTTGGCAGCTGCTGGGTCCGTTGAAGATGCGAAAGATCGGGCATCGGCATCGGCATAGAGACCGGGGCTGGACCGGAGCAATACCGTGACTACGTAACTGAGCTTCGACCTCCTCCAAGCTTAACATTTTCTTGGCTTGCGATACAGGCTCGTGAACATGTTGGTGAACATGCTCATGAACATGCTCGTGAACAGGCTCATGAACAGGCTCTGGCTTCTTTTGCAAGCCCCAGACGCTGGACTTGGCTTGCAGGTCAGGGATATATCCCGGGTCCTGGTATTTCTCATATCCAGTACGTTTGGGTTTGTCTTCTGAGACGCTGGTTGCTGGAGGCTGAGCAGCAATCTCTTTTGCCGAGCCCCCACTAGGAGCACCCGGGTGTTGTAGATTGAAGCGAACTTGCTCCTCACCGATAGCATCCGCAACCTGTGCTGTCTGCCCGAAAAAGTCGAAGTCCTTGCCGACTGAGCCCGTGCCAACGTCGCCGAACGTGTCCTCATTAAAGGCATCTTGATAATCGTCCAGCTGATCCCCTAGACCATCGTAAGTGTCCTCAAAATCGATGCTGTAAACAGCGATACGCAAATTCTGGTTAGCATTATATCTTCAATCACACGACTGCGACTCAAAGTCCAAAGGAGGCGAAAGCGACTCACACATCATCATCGTCGCCTAAGCGTCCTGCCCCAGCACGGGCGACTTCGGCAAAGGGATCAGGAGCTTCGAAAAACCCCCTCTTTTCCCCCGCAGGAGCTCGGTCCCTCGGTAGGGTAGTATCAAAGCCGAAGAACGACATCTTCGGCTGGAGGTTGGACGGGGACAAGGTAGACTGAGGGGATGGCAAGGTCTACCACGGCATTCTCGTAGTGGGATGAAGTTAGTTCGGTGCCCGTCTGATATCACCCGCTAGTCAAATTGGGTTAGTGTCAGCCAAATTACTGCCTGAGGCAGAAAGTCGTCGGCACACCGCCACAGGACACGTTTCATACAATGTGGCGAGACTCCTTCATGCAACGAAAAAGGGATTGAGGCACAAGGGTCAAGGAAATATCGTGCACAAGTGCAACATTTTATTAGACCTTTTGAATACAAATAGACTTTTTTTTGAAACTGAAATGCAACAGCCCTCCATGATTGTCTAAAATGGCACAACTTGATCGACTCCAGCCCCAATTTGATCTCCAAACCAGAATGGATCGTCGCATACTAACGACTGCCAGCCCCATACAAAGAATAGATAAGAAGACATGTCTAGATGCCTCGTCCATTTTGATGAAGCTAACCTTAATCGTGTAACAACACCGATATGAATCAATTCGTTCCCGTTCTGTTGCTGGCAAAACTGGTTCTTCTTGAGGAAATGCGCGGGGCCTGATTGCCGGGCAAGGCAAAAGGTGGCTGACAGCAGTTGCATAATCACGTTGCGTGGCCTGGCGTTCGTGGATACCTTCTAGATAGCTTCCACTGGCGTCGCTTCAGACGAAACATTTTCTATAGCTCATTTCACACTGATTTCAATCTTAATCACGATAGTTTCTGACTTGAAGACTGGCCTGGCCCGGTCTGTCAAGGCCAAGTCAACGTGGATGTCATTGTTCCACATCCCCTTTTGATCCTTTAATCCTTTAATCCTCGTTGGCGTCGCACCAAATCCGTCGGCTTTGAGGACGCAAAGACCGGCTCAGCAACTTCTCTAGGCCTGATCGCATTTTCTTTAGTATCTCTGGCCGTGTCTTTCCTGTTCTTTTCTCGTCACTCGTTTCGTTCTCGTTGATCAAAGCCACCTTCGCCCATCTGTTATACGAGCTTCCGCAGCAGGCAACATCATCCTTCTAATTGTGAACCTCCTTCTCAGCCAGGGGTCTCCTGCCCGACAGAAGAGTGAGAGATTCATCATGTCTTCGGGACCGAAATATATGCGATACTTGCTCTTTGCTGTGGTGGTTCGTCGTCCTTGGAATTTCCCCCTATGCCCTCTCGCAGTGTCACTGACGCAGTACCAGGGGTTGGCAGTATTCTTCTTAATCTCTCGCAGTTCAATTCCCATCCCCGAAAATATCGGATCGAAGTTGAGTCCTGCGAATTACAAAGATACCATCTCACAATCTGACAAAGCGCACAATGACGCGCCACCAAAACCGCCGGTGAAGGAGACACCGGGAAGCGCGAATACTGCGCCAGTTGGCCGAGTAAATGCGACATTCGTCACGCTGGCTCGCAACTCCGATGTCTGGGATATTGCGAAATCGATCCGACAGGTCGAGGATCGCTTCAACCGTAACTACCATTATGACTGGGTCTTTCTCAACGACAAGCCATTTGACGACACTTTTAAGAAGGTCACCACATCCCTGGTGTCTGGAAACACATTCTATGGTGAAATTCCAAAAGAGCACTGGTCGTACCCCGATTGGATCGATCAAGAAAAGGCCAAGAAGGTTCGAGAGGAAATGGGACAGAAGAAGATCATCTATGGTGACTCCGAGAGCTACCGCCACATGTGCCGCTACGAGTCCGGTTTCTTCTTCCGCCATCCACTGATGCTGAACTACGAGTACTACTGGCGCGTGGAACCCAGCATTGAGCTTTACTGCGATGTCAGCTTCGACCCATTCAAGTTTATGAAGGAACAGAACAAGAAGTACAGTTTCGTCCTTAGTTTGTATGAATATTACGACACCATTCCCAGCCTATGGGATAGCGTTAAGAAGTTCATGGGCAATCACCCCGAGCACATTGCAGAGGGAAATGCGATGGGTTTCTTGAGTGATGATGGAGGAAAGACATACAACAAATGTCACTTTGTGAGTTGCCGTCATTAGAAGTCCTGCTGCTGCGGTTACTGACTGATCATCTTGCTCAGTGGTCCAACTTTGAGATTGGAAGCTTAGAGTGGCTGAGATCGAAGCAGTATCTTGACTATTTCGATGCTCTTGACCACGACGGCGGCTTCTTCTATGAGCGATGGGGAGACGCGCCAGTTCATTCCATTGCGGCCGGCATCATGCTCAAGAAGGAAGAGATTCACTTTTTCAACGAGATTGCATACTACCACATTCCATTCACACATTGCCCAACCAGTGAGCAGATGAGGCTGGACCTGAAATGCCACTGCAACCCTAGTGAGAATTTCGATTGGAAGGGTTATTCCTGTAAGTTCACTTGCCGCCTTCTGGAGACGTGCATTAACCTCAATATGTTCAGGCACATCCCGGTGGTTCCAGATCAATGATATGGAGAAGCCAGAGGGCGCTGAAGAGCAGAGTTGACTAGCCGTGCTGGGTAAAGTTTGCCTGGTCTTCATTATGGTGAGTTCTATTGTTGGGCTGCTCTTCCTTTTCCGAGTGCGCATCGTCCATACCGCGTATCATCTATTCAAATTCGTCTGTGATTCGATACCGTCGTCTTAATGATGAGTACCTATCACTTGGTGCTTGTCTGTCCTTAGAGGGCGTCGGCAACGCTGGCGTCGGTTCAAATTACCGATAGCTGTCTTCAACTTGACTTTGATGTTCTGCGGGATTCAGCTTTGCGTACACTTGACTACTGAATCCCCTGCTCGCTGCTCTGGTTTTGCGGGACGGCTTTTGCTTGGGTTAGTATATGTTTAATCGAGCATAGGAGGATATAAAAGGATGATCATTTGTGTTATGGGCTTCCTGATATCATGTCAGAGGAAGAAAATATCAGCCCATCTAGCAAACTGCATCATACATGTACATAGCTGTTCAACAACAAAAAAAATGACGACAACCAGACCAATTGTTAAAATGAAATTCTGGAACAAATTGTACAATGTGTGAATCGGCATCCCTCTACTGGAATGGAAAGTCATCACAGGGCCGACTTCTGAGCTTCTAATCCTTCTTGGGCTTCTTAGTACCATATTTCGATCTGCTCGTCAACCGACTCGCAACACCACCCTGTGACTCAAGTATTAGCAACGGCCCAAACCACCAACTACATTCAAAAAAACACCGCGCGCGACACATACCAGATCCATCGCTCCCCGGACCAAATGGTACTTAACACCAGGACAATCCTGGGCTCGACCTCCACGGACGAGAACCACACTGTGCTGCTGAACATTGTGACCTACACACTATTAGCACAATCGCCTATCGAGTTGACAATTGACAATTGGAAGAACCCCACCTTCACCGGGAATATACGCCGTCACTACCTTCCCACTGCTCAGTCGTACTCTTGCAGTCTTCCTCTCACCGGAGTTGGGTTTCTTGGGCTTCGTGATACCCGTCTTCAGGCAGACGCCCTTCATCTGGGCTCTACCGATAAGGGCGGGGAGCGCGAGCGGCGCGCTCGCTGCGATACACGGCATCCGCGACGGACTTGGTTGTAGGTTGCCTGGCGGAAGGGGGAGGTGGAGAAATGACGGGTGATAGGACCTGCACCTGCTGCTCTTGCTGCTGTGATGGCGGTGGGTGTGCGGAGGACGGGCTGGAACCGGGAGATGGTTGGCCTCGAGACTGTCGGAATGGCTGTGAGAGAAGGACGCTGGACAAGGGTCCGGAGTGTGCGGAGGGCAAGGGAGGAGATGAATGGTGGCATTGTGGCGGTGGTGTGTGTATGGATGAGATTGACCGTCCCCTTCAACTTCTGTATCGCGGCGTTGATACGGAGTACGGGATAATTTCTCGATAATATCACGTGAGAGAAATGCATAAGCTGACTGCCGAGATGGTTCCTCTGCGGGCCCGGAGAAGCTGGACGCGCTATGCTGTTGGAGCCTTGGCATCTCAGGCTAGTGACTATCGTAATGCTAGAGCTACCTACGATATCAACCTACTCAGCTATCATCTTGACTTCACCACCTTCGTCAAACAACTTCCATCTGTCTCCTTCATAGACTAAGAGGCTTCATTGATTAAGAATCTCTATATTCAAGCTTGTTATCCATTAATCTACACCTCTTGCATCAACACCGCCAAAATGGTATGTCGTATCCTTTCCATTGCCATGGTCATTACCAGGTCATCAAGCCTGCAATTCCTCGAACACCGTCACTAACACACTTACAGTCTCTCCGCATAGCACCCCCCGCAAACTACGCTACCCAAGCTTCCAACACAACCACCAGAAACCCCACCGCTCGCCCATCAAAAGGCGCCCCATCCGCCCCCGGTCTCCCCGACACCCTCCGCAACAAGATCACCCTCCCAGCACCTGTGGGTCCCCCGTCTAGCAACCAAACTGCTGTTCCCTCATCGACACATCCCCTCGAAGCCCGCCTGCTCGCCTGGCGCCAGACCCAGGACGCCTTGAAGATGGAGACGCTCCGCCGGGCATACGGGATCGCGGAGCCTGTGCGGCGCGGCATGGAGCTCAAGATTGTGCGGGACGGTACTTTTCGGCCTGCTGTGCTGGGAGGAAACAAAGGTGGTAATGTACACGAGGACATTCTGGTCCTTGGGGACGGGATACGGAGATTGGCTGGGAGGATATCTTCCAAGGTTGGTTGAATGTCGGGCTCTCCGCTGCCGCTATGACGATGCTGATGTTTTTGATGCAGGAGACGAATTCAGGGAGCCGCCTTCCTTCCATGACGAGATGGAGAAGAGACTCCGGGTGGAATTTTGATTGGGCTATCGGCTTGCTCTACCTGTTCTGCTTAATCTTCCCATGAGTCGTGACGTTTCTGATACAGTGTCAATAAAGACCTTAGGATTTTAAGACTTTTTTTTCTCTGCGATGTCTGGCAAATGTCCTGGAAAGCTACAGTAAGACTCTGTATCACTACATGAACTTGGGAAATGCTGGTAAACTTCAAAAAAAAAAAAAACTTTCATGAGTTCATTTATGTCCACCTGAGTTCTGTACATCATTTCGATTCCCAACCTGGCCCTCAGGGTGACCTAACAAAAAAAAAACTATATCCTTGAGCGATGATCAGACTATACATTGCTCCCTGAATAGTGAGAATGGGGCAGTCTGGATTCTGCCAGATTGATAGCAATGTCAGAGGACGATTCCCAGCAACACCCACCGTGACAGTTTGGGAAGACGCTTGAATGAAAGGAGTACTTGGGTAGTTTGGGCAGATGCCAAGAGAAAGCCACCAGAACGGACAATCAGTAACCGGACAGGAGTAAACCAAAGGGCCATGACGTTGTTGTCAGCTAAGAACGAGACTAGAGACGAATAAATGGCAAGATGGGAAAGAAGGGGTATATAGGGACACGGATGATGGGAGACAAGACGCAATCGAAGCCTGTACATATGATGCGAAACAGAAAGGTAGAACGGGAAATACAATCAGAAACCGCAAAAACCAGATGTTAGAGCACAATCGCGATTATCCATGACGCCAGCCCTTGCGTATGGTCAGCCAATACGACAAATCAGATACCATGTATCAAAAGAGACGGAAATGATCGAAAGATAGACAAGCAGATATGAACAAGAAGCACAGATATGGAGATCACCAAATGCCGTGGAAGGCACATCACCCTCGTTTAATGGTGTGAAGGCTTAAAGATATCATTGGATGATACAACGACATCCAGGACTGCGTTCACTGGCCTCACGTTCCCGGCTATATGGAGCTTTGGCTGCCTTGGCGTCTTCTTCGTCGACAATTTCTTGAGGCTTGACTGTCATATGTACCACGTTGGGAGCATCTTTGTTGAACTTGCAGTCTGAGACGCACAACATCAGCCGAAAGTCTAGAGCAGTGTTTACGTAGTTTGTTGCCTACCTGATAAAGGGGACTTGTCGTCTAGCAACTTGCCAAATGAAATCAATCGGATAGAGCTTGGAGAGGTTGGCTGCGACTCCCAGTCTGTCAAACAGGTAAAATCATCAGCACACGGTCCGGCCTTCTTATTCTGCGTTGCGCAGTGGACGCCGACAGCTCCGCTCCTACCTTGTCTCCATTCCTTCCAGATCAGTTCCTTCAGTGTGTATACACTCATAGCAAACGGATCGTTACTCTCGACGTTGATACCCCGCTTTCGTAAATATTTCCCATCGATCTCGAAAGGGTGACGTGACCCTGTTGTTAAAAGGAGTGTGATGGTCAACGACGGGCCGGAACCCTCCACTTCCTTCGCGGCGGCGTCTGGTGCGTCTGATAATGGCTCAGGGACTGGCGTATCAGTCGTATCTAGTCCAGTGGTATCTGGGGATCTGTCATTTGTTGCAGAAGCGTCGCTGATGCTCTGCTCGGCGGTGATAATCGGTGTACTGCTATCGTGGACACCAGCGGCTTGGGTGCTGTCCGCACTATCATTTTTCTGGGTGTTCTCGGTCTCGCTCTGGGGAGCAGGAACAGCGGCGTTTTGGACAGGTTCCGAAGAAGAAACTGCGGAAGTTTGCGATTGTTGCTGCGGTTCTTGAGGGGATTCGAGCGTTGCAGAGGGAGCTTCGTCCTTGATCCCCGGTGATGCAATGTCCGACGGCGGAGGGTGAGGGTCGTTAGAAGACATCTCGAGTGCGTTTCAAATCGCAGTTCACGATCGAATCGTGGGATTAGAGTAGAAGTGAGAGAATAGCAAAGTCAAAGAAAGAGGTGAGAAACGATTGGATGTGCCTTCCGCGGAATTAGGACAGGGTCCTTGAAGGGGGAACGGCTGGCGAGAGGGTCGCTTTAAACGAGGCGTGGGAGGGAGGCAACCGACGAATACATCCAAGAACTCGCAACTGAAAAATACAAAGAAGAAGCAGAGATATCAATAGATAAACAAGTAAAAAAGAAATTGAATTATGGTGGTGCAACAGAGCACTTGCGTAAAGGAGGAGACGTAAAGGAGGAATCACCAGGTGGAGTCGTAGGAGTTGGAGGACTACTTGGTAGTAGTCTCAGTAACAGGACAGACGAGTCAGGCAAGGATGAGGAGGGGGAAAGCAAACCAGAGGCACGCAAAAATGGTCAGAGGAATAGATAGCACCAGGACAACTGGGCGATGGGTAGGCAAACCTCTAGTTCAACTAGGAGTTGGTGCTTTGACTCTTGGTTTGATTGTTGGTCTGGCCCACGGTCGCAACCGCAATTTGCCTCCTCTGAAACTCCCTAAAACAGAGGGTGACAGATGTGTCCCTAAGTAGGTAATGACAGCCAATTTCAAACAAATTATCGATGATTCACAATGCAGAGTGCCACACAGAGTTTGAAAGTGAAATCAATCTTCAATTTTTACCAATGAGCCTATTTTTATTCTTCCGTTTGTCGTTACAAACAACCGACTACTTCGTCTTTTGCGCGCAGGTAGAATCCCGTCATCGCCGCTGATCATGGTCGCATGCGGAGAAGCAATGTGATCTGCTCCCGGAACTCGAGACTCTTGCTAGCAAGGTAGCGAGTAGATATATGCTGAGTAACACAGAAGCGTTTGCACTTGCCTAGGCTTACCTCGCAATCCTTGCATTGCATAAGAACCCCTCAACTTCGTCGGGGTAAAAGCGTCATTCGGATAGGGGACCCACGGCTATCTCCACAATTGATCTTTTGATAGAGACGACCGAGTAAGAGAGCATCAAGTAGTATTTCCATCTGAGTACACCTTTTGACTGAGGCCCTCCAGGACTCCGCGAAACCCCTTTGTCTAAGAATTACTCTGCATGCCACCAACGTTTGCTTTTGCATACCAATTGCGATCTGGCGTAGTCGTGCGTAAAACACCACCGCCCTAACCCACTATGCCTACGATGCCTCCTGCGCCTGCCACAGCACCTATGTCAGCAGTTATAACGGACGGACGAGAGAGCTCACGAAACTCAGTCATACCTAAGGAACTGTCGTGCACGGTTATATGCAATATATATATTAGATATAAACTTGCTCCCTTTGCGACATGGATGCATCCGAGGATGGATGGCAAGAACTTATTGGGATGTCGCTTGAACAATCCTACTATGGTTCATAATTCTCCAGCTTCCAACGTCTCTATAGAGAGCAAGCCATTGAGTCGTAACTTGTTGTATGAGCAATACACGAGGACAGATCTTGATGAGATATCTGCTGCCCCTTCTTCCATTGTCCGTGTGTCAACAGGACCCGACAAATGCTTTCCTTGATTTGTCTGTATAATTCGGTCCACTATCGCTAGTAGCCAGTCCTCGACTCGCGAAATCTGTGGTTCGTTCTCTGGGGCTGTTCTAAATTTCAAGTATCATGCACCTCGATGAGGATGGCCATCTCGTTGAAGGCATGTGTCACGGTAGCTGATGGTTCTCTGCTTGTTCTACTCGCACATGCCATTATATCGAGAAACAAATTTCTGGCTTCTACCTCTCTCTTTCAGAGGTTAGCTCTCAATGTCGGGGACCTTGAATACAACAAGGATTTACCAAGAAATGTAATTCATTGAACCAGGAGACTGTACAGACTTTAAAAGCCTGGTATCTTGTCTGTAAGCAGTAGTGTACGGTACTCGTTTTGCCTATGAATATGCAGAACGTGGTCGGCGAGTTTCAACGAAAGCTCAACGCAAATCTCGTATGGATTGTCGAAGACTTGAGAAATACATCTCACCTGCCATTACGCGACGAGTTGTCGGTTTCGCTGCTCTGTATGTACCATTGCTTGTTCAATAGTGCCAGGAGATCTATCCGTCCCTCTGCCATAACATGGTGGCATTCGCTATAGAATGGTCTTAGCATCTATCTCAATAGACCAGGAAGATATTCTTACCAGGTAGCAGTCCTATCGAGGCTCTTCTTGGTTGCGTGGTCGATTGCTGTTCCGGGATGACCTTGACTGCGTGACGATCACGAAGATATAAGATGACTACTAAGCTATGATCGCAGAGACACAATCCTGATGGCAAGGAACATAATATCCCCTTATAATCGCAGGTGCTAAAGGCTCCTGAGCCAAGATCACAACAACTTGAACAAACGGTAATCGAACATCTTTTTCAAGGACTTAAAGCAGAATAGATCTGGCAGCAAATGCCTGAGCCCCAAGCAAAAATTGCTCCTCTGACCTCCTTAGATTGAAGCTAACCAACGAAAGGCTGCAAAAAAGTTCTCATAAATTCAGAGAAGCTCCTGGAAGATGTGGTTCATCAAAGCCTGCTGCCGAAGTGCTATGATTTAAACCCCATTATCAAAGACCACCCTCTAATTACAACGATAAGGGAGATAAGTGTTCCAAGAATACTCAGTAGACGTAAAGATAAGAGCTCTTGGAATTTTACCTTAATGGTCTGGATACCATGTGGTCCGAGCGGCTAGCGTTGAACACCCCACAATTCGGCAGACTTGCCGGCCCTGCCGCACCTGGGGAGAGCTAGATAATCATTATCACTACAGCCTCCTCCTTTAACCATGATTTCTCCTATACTTCCATATAATCATATATCATAGTATAGTTCCACTTCTTTGTAACACATAGTAGTTATGGTCTATTCAATGTACAGGAGAATGGGTTGTTCACATGGGTTCATTCACTCTGCACCTCATAGCGGCATCACTCATCCAGGTACAAAAAGCGAGTTTTTACTTGTTTATGCCGGGCAGTGGCTCATGATTTGCGATTATCAAATCAAACGATGCGATGTCACCTGCACACTAAGAATCTTCTCTTTTTCTCCTTTCATTTTCTTATTAGACGCATGACCTTCTTTCTACGCGCTCTTCGGTACTACAAAGCAATATTCCCACGGCTCTGCCAATCGATCATTCCAAATAAGCTCTCCGGGATAGGCTTTCCATGGTACCAAGCTCGCGGTTACACAGTACAGGGTAAGTTCTACAATTCTCGATTGCCATTTGATGTAATATTTTGAAGTTTACTCCAAATCGGAGATCGATTGGACGCAACTCTGACTTTGATCATGTGTTCAAGAGATTTAGAATCATCAGTTTAACACCTTGAGGGATCCCTGTCTTGAAGGATCTTCAAGAACTCACAGTACGAGCAAGCTGATTCTGTTCTTCCACTCCTTCAACGGCAAGATGGAGTCAGCAATTGATATGTACTGGTTCCACAATGACACCCCCACGGTCGTGACTCAGATACTTCGCGACTTGGACAAGAAGAGGAAACTAGCTATTGTATTGGAACTGACTGAGCCTGCCTTTTTCCTGCCCGAGGCCACGGGCAACAGGCCTGTTGTGCTTCGAGGCCGCTGCACGTTGATTGTAAAACGGCCACTGAAAATCAAACAGGTTGTGGTGGCCTTGGATGGGTTTTCGTATATCAGATGGCCCAACCGTAAGAACTGACATTAGCCACTCCCTTATTACCCCATGCTGGCTGTGTTGACTAACATCGACTCTTGGGACAGGAATTCGCGAAATGGGAAGCGTTGTCAATTGTGCTTTGACACTATTTAATTCGAAGAAGGACCCCAAGACACAGTTCCAGTATCAGGCGAAAGAGCCCGAGAAACCCATCACAGGTGTCACTGAAGTTGAAGTGCCGAAGAAGTACAACAAGCTTCGCAGAGTGGTAGACAAGCTCCGTCTGCGTTCCCCAAAAACCGTCCCGGATGTCAAGCCCGAATACTTTTCACCTGGAAAGTACTCTTATGATTTCGAAATGATACTGCATTCCGGTCTGCCCGAATCTACGTTTGTTGAGGGAACGATAGTTCGCTACCATCTCAAAGCCAGCATCAAGTGTCACTCCATGCTCAGGGGCATGTACAAATCGACTGAGGTCGACGCTGTTCGCTGCCCTGCCGATGCCTACGTCGAAGACTCCGTGGGCGACAATTGGGCTCTGCATGTTGACCGCGTTTTGCATGTAGACATTACCCTCTCCAGGAAAGGCATCGCTTTAGAAGATTGCCTTCCCGCCGGATTCAAGTACAAAGGATACAACGACACCAAGTTCCGCAAACTTCACGTCTTCCTGGTTGAGGACGTCAGATATTATACGCGGGATGGGACGCGGGCCGGTAAGGCTCCTTATAAAAAGTATCTCATACATGAGACGCGGAATAACGACCTCAGACCGGATGTGCACTGGCAACAAGAGGGCGAAGTCTCTGAAGAGGAGCTGAACAACTCTGAAGCAAAATCGACAAGATTTCCTATATCTTCTAACAACTGTGACACTCCAGACGGCGATGCTCTTCCTCCAAGCCAAACGATTGGCTTCGACCTCGAGCTAAAGATGCCTAAGTGCAAATTGCACAGAGGTGCTCCGGACTTCAGATTTATGCACTATGACACCAAACTTCGGAGCGTCAAGGTGTCGCATTTCTTCGAGGTAAGACTAACCTGTTTAGAACTATACTTTCCACATCCTGCTTCACCTTAATGACTGCCCTGCTTTCTGTTCTGTGGTGACAAACTGTTCCTTTTGTATCAACGAGCCTGGCGTGAGCTATTTTTAATCTGACTATCTGAATACAGTTTCAGGTGTATGTTTACATCAATGGCAGGCCCGCCACGGAACCTTTTGAACAGCTGGTCCCCTTGACGCTTCGCTCTTGCTACACCCATGCGGGCAATACGACCTTGCCTGCGTATTTTGAGGAGCGTTTGCCGGGCTACTCATCGCCTTCCCCGGATGCCCCAGCGTCGACTACTGATCATGATCATGATCATGATCGTTGATATCTACTGACTTGGATCTCCTCCACTCGCCGCTGAGACTCGTCTGCATTCCAATTCACATGGTTCTCAGATCGGAATGCTCATCGTTTTGTATCTGCTGCGGGCTCTGAGCGACCTGTTCACTGCTGGACAAGGCAACAAGTTGTGCTCGCTTTTCCGTCTTTTCCGGCTAGCATGGCGTCGATCTGCCCCCTGTTGAATTGCGAGTGTCCTGAAGCGTTGTACAATCTGACCTCGGAGACATTTCCCGTCTCAGATTCCTTTCTCGTCTGCATACTTGTGTTGCAGGGTGACCGGTTCACTCTTGCCTCAAGTCTGCCTCATGTATGGTTCATCTATGCCTCCTGTGTGCCTTCAGAATCTCTGATCAGTCAGCCAGTTTAACGAATGAAACGATGAAATATCGGATTTAATAATGACCGTAAAGAATCTTCAATACCAAGAACGGGACAAGCTTACCGAGGAATTGGGTTTCGCAGACCAAGCTCGAAAATCATGGTTCATCGACAGTCCTTTGCACGGTTGTGGGTACTTAGGGCTCCCATGTGGTGGGTATCAATTACATCACTTTCTCCTCCGTTTCTCCATCGGAACCAAACACACTTCCTCCTCCTCTGGAGCATTAGGCGCCAATCCTCGAAAAGACATCATCAATACATCATGAGCGGTATTATCCAAACTGCAGTTGCACTCAAAACTCATTCTGCTCAGTCTCACCTGGGGACGCGAGCGGAAGCATTTGACTAGAGTATGCGAGGGATTCATGATCTACTTCAGGGCCTCCTGCACTCAGAAGCTGATATTCAAGACAGACAAAAGCGCCAAAGATGAGATCAACAGAGGCGAGGGTGGAAAATGAGCAGAAAGAGAATGAAAGATTGACCAATTACTTTCTATTGAAGACTGACCCACAACCATGGATAAAGAATCCATGCAGATCTTGGGAAAGCCTATGGACCTTACTTTTTTCTACCGCATGAGGAAACTCGGTATCGAACTCCATGAGTTACTTACTCACTTTGACTAAGCGAACGATGTCCACTCTGACTTCATAGTTCTTATCCATATGCCAGGTAACTATTTCTATGGGTCTGCCTCGCGCAGGGACTCAAAAAATGTTTACACGAATTTATTCACACTGTCTTCGAGTCCAATGATTACCGATTCGTCACCATGGCGCCGCCCACTTTTGCTGGTATGTCCGGACGGAAACTGTCCTGGACTGTGTCAACCATTGCGACCATGGGATTCTTATTGTTCGGATACGATCGTAAGTAACGCGGGCTGATTGATTGATCCGTGCTAACAGAGACAATGCCAGAGGGTGTGATGTCTGGCATCATCTCCGACCCGGCATTTAACAATGTCTTTACAGCAACCAAAGACGACAACACCATGCAAGCGACCGTGACAGCTGTTTATGAAGTCGGTTAGTACTGACCTGCGCCACTATGTACCGCGGAGCCTAACCCAGTTCACCACCGATAGGTTGTCTATTCGGCGCTATCTTCGCCTTGATCTTCGGCGAGATCCTCGGTCGCCGGAAAATGGTCATCTGCGGCGCATCGGTGATGATCGTTGGAGTGATTATCCAAGTAACCTCATTCCCGGGCTCGCTGCCTCTGCTCCAGTTCATCTTCGGCCGTGTCATCACAGGAGTCGGCAATGGAATGAATACGTCAACCATCCCGACGTATCAAGCCGAATGCTCCAAGACGAGCAATCGAGGTCTGCTGATCTGCATTGAGGGAGGCATTATTGCTATTGGAACCATGATCGCCTACTGGATCGACTTTGGTGCACACTACGGGCCATCAGACCTGGTCTGGCGGTTCCCGATCGCCTTCCAGATTGTTTTTGGCATCGTGATTATCGTGGGCATGCTGTATCTCCCCGAGTCGCCACGGTACTTGATTGCGCAGGATCGTATCGCGGACGGCGAGAAGGTCCTGGCCGCGCTTGCCGGCACGGAGATAAGTGATCGTCATACGCAGCTGGAGAAGCAGTTGATTGTAGACTCGGTCCGAGCGTACGCTCCCCTACTTCGCACATCACATTTTTCATAGCTGACAAGCTCCCCCAGTTCCGGTGCCGAAAAAGCCAGTTTCAGAGACCTCTTCACCGGAGGACCATCGCAGCACTTCCGCCGGATGATTGTTGGTTCGTCCTCGCAGGTTTTCCAGCAGATCTCCGGTTGTAATGCAGTCATCTACTACCTGCCGGTCCTCCTGGAAGATTCAATCGGCCAATCGCACGACTTCGCTCTGCTCATCGGCGGCGTCAACATGATCTGCTACGCGATCTTCGCCACATTCTCCTGGTTCTTCATCGAAAAGATCGGCCGGCGCAAGCTCTTCCTCGGAGGAAGTTTCGGCCAGTGCGCAGCCATGATCATCGTCTTCGCGTGCCTGATCCCTGGCGACGCGCAGACAGCCAAGGGCGCAGTCTTCGGTCTCTTCCTGTACATGTGGTATGTCACCAGCCCCGGCTCCTTTCCATACCTCAAAATTGACCAACTCGTACTGATTCCACATCAAGTTTCTTTGGCGCAACCTGGCTCCCCCTGCCCTGGCTCTACCCAGCCGAACTCTCCCCCTCAGAACCCGCGCAAAGGCAAACGCCATCTCAACCTGCAACAACTGGCTCTTCAACTTCACCGTCGTCATGATCACCCCAGTGATGATCGAACACATCGGCTGGGGCACGTACCTCTTCTTCGCGGCCTGGAACGCCGTCTTCATCCCGGTCATCTGGTTCTTCTACCCCGAAACCGCGGGCCGGAGTCTCGAAGAAATCGATCTGATTTTCGCCAAGGGCTACGTGGAGAAAATGAGCTACGTGCGCGCCGCGAGGGAGCTGCCGCGGCTTTCAGACGAGGAGATCGAGGCCAAGGCGGCCGAGTATGGGATCCTGGACGATAATGAGAAGACTGAAGAGAGAGTTATGGAGAGGGATCCGGCGGCGACGGCGGAATTTTCGTCTTTCCAGCCTACTCAGCTATAAATAGGCTGGTTTGGTCGGGGCTGTGTTCTTTGAATGACATGATTAATGATTTATAGTCGATGAATTTGGCGTCCTTCGCTTTGAGGCGCTCCAAGGTGCACGGATGGCGTGTTTTGGACGTTTGGTATCATGCTAAGAATGAAGGTATCGAAATCTAGAGCCCTGCTCCTGTCAGATAGGGAGTTAAGTCGTGATAGAAAAGTTCCTTGCTTTTGAGATCATGTTGGCTTCCCGTAGACTAAGCATCTTGCTGCTACTATAAGCGAACGTAGACTATATTGGAGGGATTCGACTGTTAACTGTGCTAGTCTGCTCGCTGGCACGGTCTGTCAGTTGGGTCCTTTTATTAAGGGGCTTATGCAATAATATGAGACATTGAATTGAATCTTTGCCTGACGCTTGAGTAATACCATCGCGGTCACGCTCATGCTATGCTATTGTCATGCAATCGTCATCCATCACGAGCTTTAAAGGTGAGAAGTAATCTAACGGGATCGGACGTATAAAGCAGATCCTGTAGTCACTTGGGGTGCGGAAAGCTTACACCCAGCCAGCATATTGGTCGAGCATCTCGTTCTTGACACCCTCTGATCCATGGCGGACGCCCAGAAGCCTGACTGTCCCAATCTTGCCACCAAAATCATCCTCCACTTTGCTCTCCCATGTCTCAAAGAAGGTATTCAATCTGTTGATCACTTCCGGACTGTCTTGGATGAGGAGCGCAATAGCGTCGTAGCCACCTGCTCCTGGAACCACACCACCAATGACACCTTCCAGCTCGGACAAGGCGTCAAGTAGTTCTGTTTGGACGCGTGGCTCGATTGGGACATCAGACTTCCGAGTCATGGTACGGATATGGTTACGCGAGCGCTGAATGTAGGTGCGGACATTTTCAAAGTCACTGAGGGTATGCTCGTCCGGGCTCTGTGCCAAGCGTCTGAGTTCCAGGCGAAGTCTTTCGTTGTTCGATTGCAGGGCACCCCAGAGCATATCGGCCTCCTTCTGATTCTGCTTCCGCCACTCCAAAACCTTCTTCACCATGGAAGGAGTCTGCGAACCGCATTCGACGTCACACAAGACCATCTGCATTCCCCGGGGCAGCTTCATGCCGAAATCCAGACATTCGGTGTCCCAAGGATGCCCGGGATCGGCGTCTTCCACGATCCGAAACAACCGCTCTTCAAAGCCAGGAAAACCAGCATCGCCGACTGATTCGAGGATCGAGGGGGAGAAGCGTCTGTAGAGACAGGACCCGTAAATGGCAGCTGCAACATCGAAGCCGGACCCGACTTTACCCTGCGCAGCACAGTGGGCCGCCTGAGCCAGATTATGAAGCTTGTCGCGGCCTGGGCCGAGGTCGTCGGGCTGCATAGTACGGTGGATGACGAGAGAAGATACCAAGGCAGTGACCAAGGCCGCTGAAGAGCCCAAACCCGTCTTGTGTGCCTCCTGAAGACGAACACCAAAGTTCACGAATCTGCTTGACGACTGGAGCCCCGAAGCTTTGGAGAAGGCGGTCTCCGAGTAGTAATCGTTGTCGGCGAGGATAGTAATCGATAGTGACCCGAAATCCTTAGAGTCCGCCACGTAGCTGATGTAAGTCAAGGCGAAGTTCAAAGAGGTCTCGACAAATGGGTTGCGTGGCCTGGATGGGTCAGCTCCCTTGCTGGTCCTAATAATATTGTTGCTTACCCATCATTTCTTTGTTTCACTAGGACTCCTCCACCGTTCTCGCATCTTTGTATGCTATACTCCCATACCGCATCCACGAACTGCGGGGATATTACGACGATCGTGTCTTCGTCTTCTTTGTCTCCATGAACACTGCCTTCTGCCTGAGGCGCGCCCGACTGGCCCTGCGCGGCTCCTGAGGCTGCCTCCCGCCGATGGTTCCTTCTCAATTGCTGGACGATGACATGAATTCTGGCGTCGAGAGCGAACACTGTCCCAGTGTAGCTGCGGTCCAGGACCAGATAACCCCCAGTGAGGAGGACCTTGCCCGGAGCGGACAAGGCCGTTACCGCCGGGGGAAGAGGGGACATGGTGAAAATCAGGAGCTCGACGTCAGAGTTGGAGAGTGGATGAGGGAGTTAGATCGAGGGGTTATAAAGTCGGTGGTCCGGTATCAGGGGTTTAATGGGAGCTAAAGGAACGTGGCGTCAGCATTTCTGCAAGCAAGCCAATTGTCTCCACACACATGTACGAGACACTATCAGATCGGACATACGTGTCTGACAGAAATCTCTGTGCAGTGTGTAACCAAACAAAAAAGGACTTGGCTATTCAGTCAAAGCTACAAATCGAGGAGCAGATCTCAGTAGCCCCGCCTGACTACTCTGGGGGCTAGACGAAGGAAAGAATAATTTCAACAATGATCATGGGACAGGTCAGTGAAATTGGACATGTCAATCAAGTATATGGCCTGTCCCTGAGGATTTGTATTAACTTGATATTCTTTGCGATATGCATCATGCTTATCAATGGCTGGCGTCGTCCCAATGTTTTGCTGCTTCCATGCGGAGTTAATCGACCGTGGCTAGTGTGAACTGTGGCTAATTGTGGCTGATGTTGCGGGTATTATTCGATCACCCGGTATGGATAAGGTCAGGACTCAGAGGGTTTCATTGCATGCATAAGGTACGTTATACACATTCTAGATCATCAAATATGCGTCAAAAATTTTTAGTCCTTTCCAGGGCGGCGCCGGGATCCACGCATTTAACCACCCGATGGATTTAAGAAGCTGTCCAACAAGAAAACAAAGGCATGACGTCATAAAGAGAAGGAACTGCTCTTCGTGAGACCGTCGCTCACCACAGAGGCAGCGTAACCTTATTGTTGTAGTCAATATTGTCTGCTCTGGCTTCGACGCGCTCACGGCATGTGCCGAAAATGCGGTCCCAAAGGCGTGTCTGCTTGCCATAGTTGTAGCTACTCTTCCAGCCATAGCGGTGGTGAAGATCGTGATCCTCGATAACCAGATCCGCATTGACGAGCCTCAGAAGCCAAGTCAGCGTCGATGGTGTGAATGTGTGAAGACGGACCCCGCTGTGCCCGGCAAGCTCTGAAAATACCACATACTGGTGGCAAAACCACCACTCATAGAAGCCCATAGGGAGGCCCATGAGCTTCAGGCTGAAATAGGCCATTATAGGAATGCCCGCAATGTCGAAAAACTCCTGCTCACTATCCGCATAAAGCGTCAAAAGCGGATTCGGGTGCTTGGTGAGGTGATGAGTGCGGTGGTATTTCCAGAGGCTGCCGACATCGTGCATGAGACGGTGGTACCAATAGAACCAAAAGTCCAGAACGATGCCATAAAGACCAATTTCGAGTGGTAGCCAAAGCCAGTTGATAGAAGAAGGTGGTAGGGCGGTCCAGTAGCTCAGGAAGACTGTGAACATCGGACGGAAGGTGGATGTCGAAAGAAGCGACTGAACGACTTTTACAACACCAACATCAGGTACACCGTCTCGCTCATGCTTGTCGCCGTCGAAAAACCCAAGTCTGTGGCCGAGGCGGCGGAGGATGTGCAACTCATGAATGGCAATCGCCTTGAACGCCGTGCTGTAGAAAATAAAAGCGGCGACTGGGGTTACGTTGCGACCTGTATAGGCGACATAGGCCCAGTGAATGGCAAATGGTATTAGGGCGTGGACGAGGACCCAGCGGTTAGTTTGCCATTCCGTCATGAAAGGCACCTTGTCGTCTTTGGTGTGTACCGGAACGTCTTGGTCAAGGGCAGTAGGATGTATGCCAAGCACCTCATAGAACCAGTGGAACACAGTCCACTGCCCCTTATCAGTGCGCCATGTAGACTTCATCGAGTCCTTGGGATTGCGCATTGCGGTTGCCATGTTGGCCTCTCGATTGCGGTCCCTCGATTATCTGCTTGCAAATGGTGCTTCATCCAAGAGGGAGATGGTTTGGCCGGGGAATGGCCTCTATTTTATGTTTCAGCTCCTGTGGCGTCATGGTTTGAAGTCCAGAAGATCAATGTTGATGCCCTCGGCATGTGAATTAATAGATCTGTTCATGTGGGGGTTCTGGGGGACCCGGGTATAAGAAACCAGCACCGCGGCTCTACTAATGACGGTTGCGCAGATCCTCGCATCCTCAACGAACAGGGGCTGGAGCTCGCAACCTTTGGCTTTTTGGGATCATTGGGACCTTGCCGAACCACACGCGACAGACGCATGATGTCGATTTTGACTTGTTCTTAGTGTTCATTGGGAGGCACTCTTCCCCGCACTAAGACTCTAAACGGCCTCGGGCCTTTAGACAAGAGTTCTTGATGGACCTTACGTCCGAAACGTTTCTACTTTCGACACGATCAGTAGTATTCTTTCTCTTCTACATGACAGTTGATCTCACCATTATTATTGCATTCAAATTGCGGGTTTCAGGGGTTGCAAATACAGTTTGCCCCGTATGCGCATCCATGGACGTCGACTTGATACAGTCATACAGATCGACCATCGCGAAGTCGGTTCTCGGTTAGAGTACCCCAACAGACAGTTTGTCGTTTGTCCATTCCCGGAAAAACCGCCTGCCGGTCTGTGGTAATCAAGCGTACCCCGGCTAAGACTCAAGTTGGGGATCCCCGTCGCGTTGCATGCCCGATTGGGACTGGTTCCTCTCAACTTACATGATCTTGGTCATGATGTAGCTATATTTCGATAAGCTATGTTCTTTCTAGACTAGCAGTTGCACAAGAAGGAGGAGCGGGACAATTCGATCTGCCTTGGTTACAACTCATTCTCTGGCCAGCCACTGGCCAGTCACTGGCAAGCAGTTTGCTGTTGCCTTGCGACTGGTGTGGCGTTGGCATTGCTCGCTTGAGAGACCACCACTTCTTCATCTGAACCGGCTATTTTCACAAGCACAGACTCTGCCATATGAAGTCAACTGGACTGCTATGCTGCGTGGGAAAGATAACGAATACTAAGTATGCCATCTGTCCTTGTTTGTACCCTCAATGAACAATGGGCTCTGGTAGACCTTATCTGTCAGGTGCATCATACGACTGAGCACCAGGCTGCCTTGCAAGTTGTAGTATATCGGAAATAATGATAAACTCTTGGATGCGAAAGAACATATATGCAAGATTGGATTCTATATAAGTAGCCCGAACAACCAGACAAGCAATGCTATCCAAAAGGACTGAGGCAAGCATGACACTATGGATGCCACTGCGGGAGTATCATGCGTAGTACTGTAGTGAAACACCGGGTCAGAAGTTTCCAGGCACACTCGGACTCTGGAACTTCCGTGTATGCACGGGTTGTAAAACAAGTTTCTCATGTACACATTTTCTTTGATGGAATTGGACCTTGGACTATCGTTTACGGAGTATCGGCGCTCGGCATCCGATCAAGACTCCGGACGGAGCCAACGAAGCCGCGTCAAGAAAATAAGCCGGAATGAACGGGTGAGTCACGGCTGCTGCGCCCCTGTCAAAACAGCCAGACACTTCCGGCAGCCACCACAGAATCAGGGACGGGTGAAAAATACCTCCTGCTTTTCCCTACAGCCCCAGCGGGAATTCACTCTCTCGCGTCTTCAATTGGACAATGGGTCCCTTGATCCGGGAACGAGGGCGACCACCTGATCATCTCATCGTAGAAAAGTTCAAACCTTAGGCAACGATTTTGGATAGTTTCTCGAAGGCTTCCTCCACTGACGTTTACTGTTATCCGACGTGCATATTCCCCTTAGCCGTTTCGAGAATCTGATAACAGGACGCGATCTGCCAGGTGTCATCATCAATTCTTTCCCCCTATCTCCCACCACCACATTCTTACGGATTATTTGAACAGGGCAACTTCTCCTCTAATTGCGCGCCATTAAAAGGTCCTATCTAAGCCTTGTGGAATCCTTTCGGGACTTGTGGACAAGTGGACACTGAGCATTGGACTCTTTGCCCCACAAAGAGCATTTCGTTCCCAAACAGTTTAGTCCCTCTGGATCTGCACTAGTCCCTTTGTGGCTTAGCCACTGATACAGATCATTTTCGTCTTTTCTCAAATATTGTTTCGTTTCCTCCGGGGGAGCAGGATCTCACATTTTTCACCATTAATCGACTATTACCTCTCTTCGCCATTTGAGGTCCATCTCATTTTTACTACGCGCGTTCTTTTGGCGACCTCAAGTCGTCAAATGAACCTGCATCGTTTCTACTATTTTGATTGCAAGGTATGCTTGATTTGATTCGGTACCTGGCGGGGAAAAAGATTAATAGAACAGTGTGACTAATCAATATACAGCATCACCTCTTCCCTCTGAAGAGGTCTCCCGCAAGATAAATGGTGTTCAAGCCGTTCACTCACCTCGCGCGTCAGAGTTTCACCAAAGCCTTCACCCATGGCTACGCTCAGTCGGTAGTTGCCGCGTCGCAGTCGTCGTACGCGTCGTCGGCCACTTTCAATCAACTTGCCAGTCAACCCGCTAAATTCACTCGGACAAGTCAATTACAAAATGTTTTTCAGCCATCGAGTTCGTCGGGTGCTGGTGCCAAGGCCAGCCAGGGTGGATCTGGGTCCGGAGACTTTGGGTTAGCGGCATACTATGCGGCGTGGCAGCACGCTCAGCAGACTGGCGATGACAGTGACTGGAAACAGTTTCAATTCAAGAGACGAATTGGCTGGAAGCCGACTGGGGATGAAGAATCAGCAAAGGTGAAGGTGGGGGAGAAGGCTACGGACTCTCAATCCGGTTTGCACGACTCACCACGCGTCAGCAAGGCCTCAGCCAATGCCGAAATCAGCGCTCAAGTCGAGGAGGCTGTAGCTCGAGAAATCCAGATTCAGGAGGAACAGGCACAGGCTGAGGAGGCATCGGAAGCAAAGGATGAGGGTACTGAGGCATTCCCTGATCTACCGCCGGAGGTGGCCGCCGTCTCCGATGCGACCGCTGAGCAGTCCCGAATCGTTTCCGACCAGATTGTCCAACTAGCCTCGGGCAAAAAGTACGCTGAGATCCCTGCTGCTTTCGAGTTGCTTCTAAGAGATGGCCTCACTCCGACCGTTGGTGCTTACAATGCCTTGTTGGAATCTGCCGTCCGCCTTCACACCGACGTTTCACATGCCATCCCCAAAGCGCTCGATGTCTACTCAGACATGCTTCGTCGCAGGGTAATTCCCGATGAAGACACCTATCGCACACTGGTCGAGCTTTTTGTGACCCGCTCTCATGAGACTATCAAGGCCAAGGAGTCATTGGAGCAGGAGCGCCTTCGCTATGGAGGCATGGAAGAGCCTGGCAAGTTTATGCTGCACTCTAGTCAGTTGGAGCGCGATCTGCTCGCTGAGGACCACTCTCTCGCTATTGCTGTCAAATTGTTCAACACTGCAACTACCCGTCACGCAGATCTCGTCTTCTCTCTCGATATGTACCGCTATCTTATCACAGCATGTGCGAAAGAAGGCCAAGTTGAGGATATGATCCGTATCTATGCCCACATGGAGTCGCATAAGGTGACGCCACATGCGTCTATCTTCCCATCAATGATCGATGCCTTTGCGTCTACCGGCGATCTGACCAGTGCTGTGGAGTGCTACAACGAATACAAGGATCTCGCAATTTCTGACGATAATGGCACGTTCAGCATTATTCAGCGTTTGGACGGTCAAGTGTACGCTGCTGTGGTCAGGGCTTATCTTTCAGCCGGAAAGGAAGAAAATGCCTTGCGATTCCTTGAGCGCATCCGTGCTTCGTTTGATGAAGTCGCGGAAAACCGTGAAGCTCGCCAGGAGGCCGTCGAGTCCGTAATTGTTCAGGATGGCCTCGTGCAGTACTGTCTCAAGTCAGGTGAGCATGCAAAGGCACTGGAGCACGCCAAGGAGCAGCTACGCGGTGGTGCTTTGGATCATGCCATGGCCCGCATTTGCGTCATTGCGGCGGATGCCGGTGATCTTAACACTGCCTCCGAAGCGTACGGACGTCTCCCCTCAGACCCGACTGTGCGTCAGGGCCCCGCCATTGCGATGCTGGCGTTGCATGTGCGGCAAGGCAATGTGTCAGAGGCTCGACCTCTGTGGCTGATGCTAAGCACCGTGGGTCAGGCAACTCCGGATATGGTTCAGCCGACGGTTATGTACGCAGTTGCCTTGGTAAAGAGTGGCCAGGTCGACGAAGCCCTTCTTGAGGCCCGCAATATGTTCGCCCGGATTCGCAACTCCTCTGCCAACAACGCCGTCGTACTGAATTCCATCCGTGAACAAATTAATGAAAGCCTCCACCTTATCGGCCGTGTCCTCATGCAGACTGCCGCTGTTCTCTCCCCCCAGGCTGCCATGAACCTCATTTGGTCCATGACTGAGAATGGTGGTCTCATCTCTCCCCTTGCTGAACATGCTGTTGCCAGCCTTGGACCTTTGGGTATCTCTCAGCTTGCTGCTCCCGATCTGGCGCTCGCCCTCCAGGTTCAAGCTGGTATGCTTCTCAACAGCAACTCCATGGCCTTTGATGTCGCTCATCCCATCCGCTTCGCCCACATGCTTGACATCGCTCTGGCCACGAAACTCCCATTGGATGCTCAAACTACTGCGCTGGTCGATCAAGCCGTCGCCAAGCTGTTCAACAGCCGGCCTGATATGGTGAAGAGATGGCAGGACCATCTTAGCATGGCGTCCTCCCCATCGTCTTTCCTTTCCGGTCGTCACTCTCCTGTTTCGGAAGTTTCGTCTATGACGCCCGCGTCTAGCGATGACTCTTTCGATCCGTATGCATATGCTACCGACTTCCGTGGATCTTCTATTATTACCGAGGAGTTGGAGAGTACCAGCGGTCGCGCAGAGTCGCATCTGAATGAGGCTTTGACTCGGCTTCGGAACATGCGTCGCATTGGTCGCCATCCTCGCTATATCACCTATGCCAAGCTCATTAATGCGGCCACGAAGGCCGGCCGTGCCGACCTAGTGCAGGAGATTCTGAGCATGGCCCGTCGTGATGTTCCTCTGCTGCCTCAGTACCATGCTGTCAAGTATGGCTGGATTTCCATCCTCGATGCCATGGTTGCCTCCTGTTTGACTCTCGGAGACCGCAGCCTCGCTGGCAAGTACCATAACGAGCTCCTGGAGCTGGGTTCAGCACCATCAGCGAATACCTTTGGCCTCTACATCACTACCCTCAAGGAATCCACCAAGACTTTTGATGAAGCAACCGAGGCTCTGAAGATCTTCCATCGTGCTATTGCGGAAGGGGTTGAGCCGACATCCTTTTTGTATAATGCGCTTATTGGCAAACTTGGTAAGGCGCGCCGGATCGACGACTGCCTTCTGTATTTCGCCGAAATGCGTGCCAACGGCATCCGTCCCACCAGCGTCACGTACGGAACGATCGTCAATGCTCTCTGCCGTGTCAGTGATGAGCGTTTTGCCGAAGAGATGTTCGAGGAGATGGAGTCGATGCCCAACTACAAGCCGCGACCCGCTCCTTACAACTCTATGATCCAGTACTTCCTCAATACCAAGCGCGACCGCAGCAAGGTGCTGGCCTACTACCAGCGCATGCAAAGTCGCAACATCCAGCCCACCATGCACACGTACAAACTGCTCATTGACGCCTATGCGTCCCTGGAGCCCGTGGACATGCCTGCTGCTGAGAAGGTGCTGGAGACTATCAAAGCCTCCGGACAACAGCCCGAAGCCGTACACTATGCATCCCTTATCCATGCCAAGGGATGCGTGATGCACGACCTTGGTGCTGCCTTGGATGTTTTCCAGTCTGTTGTATCAAACCGCAAGGTGCGCCTACAGCCATGCCTCTACCAGGCTCTGCTGGAGGCCATGGTGGCCAATCATCAGGTTGCTCAAACCGAAGCCATAGTCAAGGATATGGCCACTCGCCGTGTGGAGATGACTGCCTACATTGCCAACACTCTTATTCACGGGTGGGCCGCTGAAGGCAACGTCGCCAAGGCCAAGGCGGTCTATGACAGCGTTGGTATCGACAAACGGGAGCCCAGCACCTACGAGGCGATGACTCGTGCATTTTTGGCATCTGAAGACCGCGAGGGAGCCTCTCGTGTTGTCCAGGAGATGCTGTCTCGTGGCTATCCTACTGCTGTGGCCAGCAAGATCCTTGACCTGGTTGGAGGTGGTGCGCCGGTAGCTGCCATCTAAACAGGGTCTTCATGCGATGATGCTGCCTTCCCTTCTTCGTTTCGACCCGTTTGAAACCTATGTCATGTTGACAACATCAAAAAGTACTTGTTCTAATGCATCCCCTAAGTTGCCAGGGCTGGATTCCCTGTCTTTTGGCGATCTCCAGCCCGACGGCCTTTGTACAGGCATTCGGGAAGGCAGCATCGATTTCTGATACTTGATTACTTCGTTTCAGGACTCATTTACACTGTGTTATGCATTCAGCGAGGGGAAGGCGTTGGTCAAAACTGGGATTCATTATGTTGCGTGTATACCATACCACGTTGGTCCTTTTTCTTTTTCCATATTTCCTTTTTGTTTTATAGACCACTCTCTACTCCTTGTCCTAAGGATTGCCTGCTGTTAAATAAACAATCAGGTCACAATTCAAACACGATATGAATTACAATTGCAGCACACATATTGTAGATACTTCGCAGTGCCCATCTAGGTTCTGGTGATAATGACATCATGGAGCTGCGATTTGTACGATTCGAATTCCTCCTGGCTGAATGCACTTGGAGAGTCTTTGGTCAATAATGCGATCGCAATTGGTCAATCAGTCGACGATTGATCAGGCAACTCGGAAAAGGTGCTCCTGGTATTGTTCCATGTTGCTGAGTACTCAAAACGGCCAATGATTTCCGGCCGTAGATTTCCGTTTGTCGACTCCGCATTTATGACCAATGACTCGCAATCTCCCCTACCTTTAATCTTCAAAAGTCATCACCCTTCGCTAAGCTCACACAGCTACACAGTCTATGCTTACTGGTCGCGTATGCTTACGCACTCAGTGCCCTCTTCGTCGCATCCGTCTGGCAACGAGCCATTGTAGCCACGACCAAACGTGGTATTTTCGCAGTATGAGTTCGGGGACTCCAACGGCCGACGAGCACGCAATGAGCTCCCGACGGCCGAAGAAGCTAATCTGTACGTTTCCCCGACCTCTCCCCTCCAAAAGACGCAATGATCTATTCCTAACACCCGCACAGTCGCACCCGGCGACATCGAAGCAACGCCCGACCTCAAAATCACAGCCACCGAAACCAAAGACCCCTCCTCACCGGCCCCCAGCGTCCCCGAGCACATCGCCGAGCAGCTTCGCTCAGATGTCTCGACCCCGGACTCCACGATCGAGCGCCAGATCGTCGCCCACCCGGCCCGCGCACACCAATTCGTGAGCAACCCGCCCCTAACAGTCTCCCAGATGCACCCGTCCAACCCGCTCCACCAATTCCACACCTGGTTCCGCGACCCGCGGCTGTCACCGTCCTCGGCGCCGGAAACGTGTACATTGGCCACGGCATCGCTGCCTTCTGGGCGGGTTAGCGCGCGCGTCGTCTACCTCAAGGAACTGGATGAGCGGGGCTGGGTGGTGTACAGTAACTGGGGCAGCCGGGAGGGCAAAGGCGGGCAGATATTTGGCGTGAATGCGGGGGCGGCGATTTCCCCGGTGCGATGCCGCGGCCTGGCGAGGACGAGAGTCTTCTCCAAGACGTGCAGGGGGGGAATCGGTGGGCTGCGCTGACGTTCTGCTGGTCGGCGCTGGAGCGCCAAGTTCGCATTGAGGGGATGGTGGAGCCGCTCAGCCGCGAGGAGAGCGAGTTGTATTGGGATACGAGAGAACGAGGCAGTCAGATTGGGGCGTGGGCGAGCTGGCAGAGTAAGGTGCTGTGGTCGGCGGAGCCTGAGATACTGGTTGACCGGCGGCGGAAGAGCGTTGCGGCCGCGGCGCACGTTCAGGGCTCGACGCCTATGTCTGGATGTCTTGAGATCCCGGCCGACATTGACGAGACGGACATTGATGATGGGAGGGCTCTGCTTGAGCAGCGGGTGCAGGAGATGGAGGCGCGGTTTGCGGGTGTAGAGAAGATCCCTCTTCCGCCGTTCTGGGGTGGTGTGCGACTGGTGCCCGAGTCGGTGGAGTTTTGGCAAGGCCGACGCAGTCGGTTGCATGATCGCTTCCGATATGTGAGAGTGAGGGAATCAGATGATGATTCGTCGTTCAAGTGGCAGATTCAACGACTTTCGCCATAGACCTTACAATAGACCGTTGATATCAGGCTAAGTGAATACTACCTATTCTTAAGACTTACCAATAAATACCAGCATATATCCTTCAGCTTCAGTGAACAACGATTAGACTAAACGGTTATCATCAACGTCCTATCATCACTAACCAATCCTTTCATGTCATTCACTTCAACCACTTTTGGTGTCGCCACGAAGCATACAGCTTGAGAAGGCACCGGGATTTTGGGTGTTGTCACTCCCAATTCACCGAGGAACCGTAACGCTCGATATTATGATACGCCACTCCGAATACCGTTCTTTGGTACATCGGATAAGGAGGGTATATTCCTCCTATGATTATTGATATGGGGTCATATGACCATTAAAATGAGCGCAGCTCTCAACCGAAAGGTGGTGGAAATCTATGGATTAGAGCAGTGATTTAGTAGAAATGTGCATCGTGTCATTCAGGTATCTAACTCTAGTGAATCTAATCCGCTGTAGGTTCCTGAACTCCAGTTTCCCGGAGAGGGAGCTCAGCTGTCTCAGCAGTCTTGGCCCCAGGGTAGCGGTTTCCTTTATCCTTTTGCTTCTTCTCCTTCTTCTTCTTTTCCGGAGGGGGGTATGCTTTCAATGTGACCTCCTGCCATTCTTTGGAGGCCTCAAAAGCTGTGATGATAGGGGCCATAAGCTCAACGAGAGCCTCCGCCACAGCGGGCTTGAGCAATTGCGGTGTCAACTGCAGAAAAGTCAGTACCGAGTCAGATAACCCTTGCGCTGCAGACTGCTCCTGTACATACAATATCGTTCTTGTAATCTTCCTGCATCTGCTTGATGTCGTTGTAGACGAGAGGCTCCAGGCCGTCTCTCTCACGGCTGACGCGGAATTCTGGGCGGCCAGTCTTCAGGGCGGAGGCGGGAAGCAGGACGAATTCTGCAAATGAGAGAACACCGTTGTTTTCAATCTCCTTGGGAGCAGCCTGGGCCTTGCGGATCTTCTTTCTGACAGTATCCGCGGCCTCGAGAAGATCAATCTTGCTCTCTACCAAGAATCAGTAAGCTGTTCGTAATAGTATAGGAAATCGACAGTACCTTCTTCACTCGAGCTCATCTTACCACCGGTAAGACCAGGGACCATGGGGTTCAGCAGATGTGCGCGCTAGATATATGTCAGCATATACGTGAGCCGTACGACAAGGCTGTGCTGACCTTTCTGTAACCCAGCTTGGGCTGCCATTCGGTGGATGCCGCGAACAATTTGCGCTGGTCAACTCCTACTCAAATTAGTTCCTGTGCAGATTGTGATAGCCGAGGAAGCGCACCTCCAAACTGAACATCGCAATCGAGGTGCTGCTCATCCAGAACCTGGAGGATAGGGTAGAGAAGACCACTGAGAGGGCTGTTGTTGGATTGCTTGACGACTTCAGCACCAGCCTTCTTCGCGTCGTGCTCCGATACCAGCGAGCACAGTTTGTACACATCCATCACATATTCGGGGCTCTTCTGGTAGGAGCTGCCGAGGACGAAGCGCAATTTCTCCGTCGAGACGCCCACAGCCTGGAGCATCGCTCTAATTGTGTACTCATAGTATTTCGCGCGGTATTCGACAAGCTCAATCGGCGCCTTCAGGTTATCGAGGAAACCATGGATATCAGCAATCAGGATCGTCACATCGCAACCGGCAGCCAGAAACTGTGCGATTTTGACGGCAGGCACTAAATGCGGGGTTAGCGGTGGGCTTTCAATTGCATTGCAACGACGTCGTACCAAAGTATCCGCAGTGAGGTTTGCCAGTGGGACTCGTTCCTGTCAATTGAGAAAGAAGATATCAGCAATTGGCCAGCTGTCACATGAAAAAAAAAAAATTGTGTAGTACCCCAGTAGATCTTCGGGTTGCGCCCCTCCGCGAGAATGCCCTCAATGATATCCGGGTTGAGAATTTCTTGAAGGTTCTCCTTGATGAGGGCGAACCTTTCGGCCGCGTTCATTTCTGCCATGGTTCAGGAAGAAGATGCCTTCGAAAACTTGACGACGGAAACCGCGGTCCCTATATAGTGCACTCTGCTTAGGTGAGTCAGTCCGTATACCCATGGATAAATACAAAAATCCCCGCCATCTCCGGGCCGGGTGTTTTCCCGCTTGGAGTAATCACGCTGCGACAAGGCGGTCAGCCGGAATCCAACGTCAGGCCAACAGCCATATCCGCCGAATTGGAAAGTGAGATGGACAAACGAAAGGGGCCTTGACGACTGTATGCTGACAGAATCTGCATGTAGCTGGGACGCAAGGAGTTCGATCGTCCTGCCGTCTGCTTTTCCTCTCGGAATGCTCGGAACGCTCCGATTTTGCTGGCTTTCCATCCTTCATTGTATAGCCAACATCCAGATAGATAGAGCTCGAGACTCGGTTTTGTAGAGGGTCACCAAACCCAGCGCTTGGGTACCTCCCTACCCTTCTATGCAATATAGCAGCAAGATTACCTCGGATAAATCTTATCCAGTCCCATAAGCAGGTCAATCGCTAGAAAAGAGCCATGAGCGTTCAATATCAGTACTCAGTAGTCGATAGCAAGAATGCGAGTCTCCATAGAGCAATACGTCTGTGAGCCTCAGCCCTTGATTTCTGACAATGTACTTCTCATCAGACATGCCTCTGGTTGAAGTCATATAAAGACACAATCCAATTTTTGCTGTCCATATGTGCTCTCCACCTAATCCCATACCTATCGGAGTAGACGCTGAAGGTTCAGGTAATCACCCCTATCACGTGAGTGTACGCATTCAGGGCCATCAACATCAGCATCTACTTTCCTCATTTCTACCAGTAAAAGCAACTGAACATCAGTTGAAATACAATCAACTCGCATCCGGAGGCTGACCTCCAATTCTTCCATTACGAATAAGAAGTCCGAATCATGGCACAGCCACCCGTTCCATCCCGCTGGATCATCCTGGCATTAGCCAGCGGCGCATTCGCAGCCCTCAATGGCCTTTTCGCCAAATTGTACGTGTACAAGTCCACCCAGGGGCAACTCGCATTTTGAAGCAGATCATTTGCTAACAGCAGCAATCAGAACAACTGACGAGCAAACCACCGCGTTTGCCAGGAGTATCTCGCATCTCTTCGGCGCAGGGGATCAAAATACGTTCCTTGAGTTGGTGGTTCGAGGTGTATGTCTCCCCTTCCTTTCCTGCGTTTTGAAGGATCTGTTTGACTTTGTAAAGGTCTGTCTGGGACTCAACGTCCTGTGTAACATTATCATGTGGGCGCTCTTTACTAGAGCGTTGACCGCGTCGCCCTCCACCACGAAGGTGTCCATCACTAACACCTCGGCTAACTTTCTCATCACGGCATTGCTGGGTATGGTTGTCTTTCGGGAGAAGGTGAGTGGGCTGTGGTGGTTGGGAGCTGGGATGATGGGCGGTGGGTGTATTTTGGTCGGGATGAGGGATTCATGAGCCTCGTGCATCTAAGCAGATAGGTCAGAGCATTGGACTGGGTTGTATGTGAGGAAAGAACACGAATGCCAAATACAATGAAGCTATTCCTTAGGATGCCCGATCCTATAGTCTATTTGAGGTGATAATTTACATCGAAAGGTATCATATATGTCAATGTCTCTCCGTCAATTCCACAAAAGCATCGTCCTCCTCAGTTCCTCTCAGGACCCTGCTTGGTCCCCGGTTGTCTAAAGCCACTGGCCCGTGGTCGCGGTTAAGGCGTGGCCACCGTGGTAACATCGAGCCCACACGTTGCAGGAAGCGCCATACATTTTCTTCTAGACTATCGGTCTGGCGCCCGTTAAGATGAGCTCCAAGTGGAAGGTCCGCCGCAGTATGGGTTGATGCGAGAGCTTGCTCCTCGGCCTCCACCTTGAACTGATATTTCAGGCAATCCTTGACAGTGACAAGTCCCGTGACCCGACCACGATGCTCAACCAGGATCACCCGCGGTCCCATCTTCTTGAAGATCTCCATGACAGTCTCGAGTGCCAGGCGGGGATGCACGGTTAGCGGTGTGTGGTCAACATATCGGCTGAAATCCACGAAAGGCGCCCCTAAACTAGTTTGAATTGCATCAAAGGTATTGGGCACCAACTGATTTCTCGAGGCAGACGCCCTGCGCGCCGCTGCGGCTTCGGCGGCTTCTTTGGTGAATACACAGCGAGCATTAGGAGCCAACATACCCTCCGACTTTGCCCGATCAATCGCGTATCGGAGCTCAGTGCGGCCGATGTACCCGACAAGAACTTTACTTGAGCGATCCTCAACGATGGGGAACCCCTGGAATTTGTTGTCGTTCAGAAGATGCTCGGCTTCACGGACAGGGAAGTCTGCTGCAGGAAGCGAGACGGGATCAGGCGTCATGGCCTGGGAGACAGGCACGTTGAAGACATGCTCTTCTTTGTTGTCTAGGAATGGAAAGCCGTTGGACCAGATCATTCGGTCTGCAATTCCTCCACTGCCAAAGCGATCACTAACAGCTTTGGTAACACCCACCACGATCTACCAATGTTAGTCTCTTTGATAAATGTACCAAGAGCTGATTGACTCACCATGGTGGGTAGAATGTAAGTAAGGGCCCCGGTAAGTTCAAACATGATGACAACCACAGATATTGTGAGGTGCATAATCCCACTCAGAGCGGCCCCAGCGCCCAGGAACGCATATGTCCCGGGAGTGATACATGGAACATCTGGTTTACAAGAGGCAAAGAAGGCGGAATTCGGGAAAGCCTCGTGCATGGCCTGGACAAGAATCCCTACCAAGCGACCAAAGGACGCTCCAATGGCCATTGACGGGACGAAAATGCCGGCCGGGACTTTACAACCGTAAGATATGATGACCAAAAGAACTCGTAAAATCGTAGCAATCACTAGGGATGCAACCATAGTCCATCGATTCTTGGACCTAGAATCGTTAGCAGTTGTCTTCTTTGGTTGTCAGCTAAACAGCTTACTCGCAAAGTCCGTGATAGTCGTGCCCTCCTTCGCATTCACGGAACAAAATCTCCATCATCTCGGTCATGTTGATCTTCAAGAACATGTTCGGATAGCAAATGAACGCGGTCAAGCCCGCTAAGATGACCGATTCGATGATGGGGTACTGCGAAAGATATTTCTTCCTGAACGCCTGGACTCGTAGATTCCACTTGATCACAAAGGCGCCGTACAGACCACCGAATATCCCGAGAAGTACGAAAAATATTAGTTCGAAAAAATGCCACGTGCGATCATACTGCACCTGAAACATGACGAGTTGTCCGGTCCTGAAGGGATTCATCATCTGTGGACTGGATCAGCGGCTGACGAACAGACAGAAACAGAACTTGACGTCCGTACCGCCAACACACCAGTTGCAACCAAAGCGCAGAAATAACTTCGCCAAAGAGTCTTGAGTGGAAAATAAGATGCCATTTCCTGCAGCCTAGTTATCAGCATGACTCTATGAAGCATGAGCTCCAAAATCACGAACCTCTAGAGAGAATAGTACCCCACCAATTGGACTGCCAAATGCCACTGCCACACCAGCAGCAGCCGTTGCCGTCAGGACTTCTCTCGTTTTCGACGCGTTCAGCTTATATTTGCTAAAAAGGCGCGAGATGACATTCCCTGTACAGACGGCGAAGTGCACACTGGGCCCTTCTTTTCCCACTGAAAGACCAGACGCAATGGCCAATGGAAGCGCGATGGACTTGATCAATAGTGTCCAGCCACCTAAGAAGCCTTTCATCACGAACCCGGCAATAATGCATTTTATTTCTGATATACCGGACCCTGCGGCGTAAGGAGCGAATACTTTAACCAAAGTGGCGGCGATAAATGCGAACAAAGTCTATACTTTCTCAGCCATTGATCCGGAAGGACAGGTAAGGTTCAACATACCGCGAAGAAGAAGTATACAAAGTAGTTGATTAGCCAAAAGGAAGTCCATGGCTTCCATTCGGGGCAGCCTGGTAAAGAGACACGTTAGCTCTGCGCTTCACCATGAGCAGAACATACGCGATATGGCATACCTCCTTCAGCACCCCAGCAGCAGAATTGCTCATTGAGGTAAAATGCAGTCGTACAATGACCCAACTTGATATCCGACAGCCACTCGGTGATGATGTTCAATACAGCCGAGATCAATCCGATAGCGGCGCCGACAATTGTAATGACGAGCCAAGCTTGCCCAGCGTCATAAGACTCGCTCACTTTGCGCCTCCAACCAAATGTGCCTTCCTGATCCCAGAACCCAGACCCATCTCGTCGCTTCGCTCTCCGTCGCGCTTGTTCCTGAATGGCATCTTGGACCCAATCAATCGTTGTAAAATCCTCATATCGCTTTATTTCCCTGATCTCATCCGTAATCGCGTTCGGCTGGCCATTGTCGTCGGGTGGGCTAGGGTCGACAGGCGAGGTGACAGATAAGCCTGATAATCTCCAACTCCGACGCTCAGACAGGACTGAGGGTGAGCGGGGAGCGGTCGACGAGGCAGGCATCGAGCTCATACCACGGTTCTCTTTTGTGGTAAGAGCATAGTCGGCGTGGACGTGATGCTGGGGAGCTGTTTATATTGCAGTGACAATGCTCCATGGCAGATATGCCGCCCGCCCACGTGAGGGAACTTCCCGCTTTCAGATTGGAGATAAGGATAGATGACGGTGGGTTTCTTTTGTCGATCGAGGTGTAGCACAAAGTCTTGTAAGATAATGAATTTTCTTTCCTTTTCAGCGAGTTGGCTGGTCAGCAGTAATATACTGGGCTCACCGTGCTTGATTCGACCCTGTTCTTGTAATCAAGCACATGCAAGCATATCCTACATCACTTGCGGAGAACATCTACACGCTGTGCGCTCTTGATTTCTACCCGCACGCGGTGTAGCAGTAATTTCTCGACCTTCCAAACCGCACCATATTCCTCTCCGATCCAGACAATAGTGCTTAACGAGTCTTTCAAACACGTACAATTACCCTTGAGCTCAGACCAGCTTTGAAACAGCGGCAATATACGACCAAATCCCCAGTCGAGTCCGCTATGGCTCCGAAAGACAAGCCCGCACCAGCACCAGCAGCAGCACAAACATCCAGAGATGAGGTAACCGGCCAGAGCGCTCTACCTAGTGCGTGTGAAACCAGAGCTTTGTCGAAGTCACTCAGTGGGCTTACATATCACAGTCACACGAATAAAGAAAATAATTCATCTCGATGAGGATATCGTACAATGCTCCGGCAATGCTACGTTCGTAGTCGCAAAAGCTACAGTTTGCCTCCCCTTTTGGCCCTCTGGATTCTAAGCTTCGTGTTGAGAAAGGTTCGCTAATTCTGTCCTCACAATCTATTTTAGGAAATGTTCATTCAATACCTCGCGCAACAAGGGCATAACGTTGTTAAATCTGAACGAAAACCGCGTAAGGTTATTCAATACAAGGATCTAGGTCCGTCGCGAATCATAGGATTGAAGAAGCGAGCAGATCGCTGACGAAAATGACACAGCTACCGCCGTTTCACGATTCGATAACCTGGAGTTTCTTGCCGACGTGATACCCAAAACAACTACCTATAAACAATTCAAAGAGAAAAAAGCAAAAGAAGCCAGCAAAGACGCCGCGTTCGAGAAGGGACAGCGCACATTGAACGGCACAATACCGTCGATGATTAAAGAAAATGGCGAGGGTGGTCACCAGAAAGCTGATAAGCCTTCTATAAGCCCTCGAGCTCCGTCTCTCAGTACGTTGATGGTTGACCGCACCGTCGAGGCGCAACCAGGAGGAAACGACCGTGACGTCGAAATGGTAGACCAGTGATCGAACCAGGCGCAAGTCCTTGTATAATTTGAGCTACGCCGTAGACGTTCTTGTTTCTTTTGGGTTTGGAGTTATTATCGAGAATCGCATGTTTGGCTTTGGTTATGCACGGAACGGAAACGGATCGAGGAAAATCCTGTTGGTCAGCTGCTTTTTGACGCGTGAATCATTTATACCTCAGGTTAGCATAGCGAGAACATATGAGAATTATGATGAAATCATCTCGAATAGACCAATTATTATTATAGAATAGATAGAGTCTGGAAGAATAGCATTCAAGTAGACCTAAAGATGGCAACTGCTTGAAGAACGTTTGGCGGCCGGAATTGTCGTGTGCTCCAGCCAATGAGGCGCCCCGTGATTCCGATCGCTTGTCGTAGAAAGCTCTTTCGACCCGTATGCCGGGCCTCCGTTCAACCTCATCGAATTCCTCCCGTCCTATTATTCAATCGCTCTCCTCCCCCTCAACTCTCCTCCCTCCACCCACCTCCCCGCAATTCATTGCGATTGCCAGTCTCATCATGTCGCTTTCCTCCGCCTCGAGCACTCTGCTGCGCGCTTACGCCCGCCAGCAGCTGCCCACCACCCGCGCTGCCGTCGCCTCCTGCCAACAACGGAGAGGATTGTCCGAGGCCTCCAAGTCCTCCTCCTTCGATAGCCCTTTCGGCAGCTCCAACGACTATCAGTCGACTCTGAAGATCCCCAGTTTCAGCAAATACGCTTCCAGCAAGCCTCCCCGTTCGAACCAGGTTTTCTCCTACTTCATGGCCGGAGCCCTCGGTCTCGGATCTGCTGTTGGTGCCAAGGCTACTGTTCAGGGTAGGTGATATCAGGCAGTTCACGACAAGAGATGGAATTGAACGAAGGGATTGAATGTCGCTTTGGAATACAATTGCGGGGAATTCGGCAGTTTGGGTCGTTTGGTATCACATGGAGCAGGTTGCTGATATGCAATTTTTACCATCAGACTTCCTCGTGAACATGTCCGCCTCTGCCGACGTCCTGGCTCAGGCCAAGGTTGAGATCGGTCTCGCTTCGATTCCCGAGGGCAAGAACGTACGTGTCCCGTTTATCCGTGAAGCGTCACGCACACTTCGCTACTCCGAGCGCTTATACTGACCTACGAATTTACAGGTCATCATTAAGTGGCGTGGAAAGCCCGTTTTCATCCGTCATCGTACCCAGGACGAAATTCAGGAGGCTCAGCAGTATGACTGGAAGACTCTCCGTGATCCTCAGCCCGATGAGGACCGTGTCCAGAAGCCCGAGTGGCTGGTCATGCTTGGTATGTCGTCACGCCGTCTGTTTCTGCTATATTCTTTCGGACGGTTACTGATAGCGAATTTTCCTATCTTGAAGGTGTCTGCACTCACCTTGGTTGTGTCCCCATTGGTGAATCCGGTGACTATGGCGGCTGGTTCTGCCCCTGCCACGGTTCTCACTATGATATCTCCGGCCGTGTCCGGAAGGGTCCTGCCCCTTTGAACCTCGAGGTTCCCCAGTACAGCTTCCCTGACGAGAGCACCCTTGTCATTGGTTAAACATCTCTTCTTTGTGAGTCATCAAATGTTCTAGATCAAAGAGAGACGAAGAAGAGGGGAGTGTTTGTGCTTTAGACGGTTAGCTTTGTTGCGTCTGTCAAGACTGAAGAGACCGTGTTTTAATATGGACCCAAAAATGAGCTCTTGTACCATCTTTCAACATGCGCTGTTCAGGCCCCTGTATCACTCACTTGTCTGTGGAATTCTTGTGTTTCAGTATAGACTTTCCTCGTTCTGAGACCTTGCCTCACGCGCATACGGGTCAAAAGCGAGTTGTCCGTTCCTCTTACTCGTGGCAGCTGATAAAGCAGTTGGAAGTTGAGGTTGATCTGCAGTGAGAGGTGGTGGACTTCAGATGTAGATCTGTTGAGCGTTTGTTTCGAGTACATGTATGTCATAGTTCTGTTTACGTATATTCATCGTTCAATCTCCTTTGTCTTTTTATTCACTGGATCTGGTAATCTCTACTGCTAAGGTATCCTCGAAGTACTTCGCCGAGCTGAGCCGGCAACTCAACCTGACTGCGCCAGCTGTACAATAATATACAAGTTGAATTCCCCTACTTGGTCCATCTATCCTCTATTCCATTTCTGTACAATGTTCAAGATACAAGTCGACGTCCCAGGTAAACTAGTTACAAGGGATTCGAAGTATATGTAATAGACCAATCATCGGGGCCGAATCAAAGCAATCACTAGACCCATGATAGCTGCACCCGCAGCAGCGCTCTGAAGGGCGACAGTGGTCAGATCCCGCTGTGTGATGACCATACTGCGATCACTGAACAGCTCATTAAGAGTCTGTCGCCATGAGTCGAGGGAAGGAGGAGGAGGAAGAATGCGGGAGAGATGAGATTTGCGGGGCTCAACGACATTGGTCATTGCGTTCTTGGGAGCGCTGTCCTCTGTCGTTTCTGTTGCGGTTTCGGGTGTTATGTTTGTGACGATGGTGGGTGTAGGATCGGAGTCCCAGACAACAGATTCGGATGTGATGGCTTCATCCGTGGCGGCTGGGGCGTTTTCATCGGAGGTTAGAGTGTCTTCGGAGGCAGTTGAAGTAGGTGTTGGCTCCGCTGCTTCCTCCTTGAGGGACGGCGATGTCGCTGTTAGAGCAGGTTGAGGTTTCAATATCTCGATGTGGTTGATGGCTTTCTCTTTCTCGATAGCCTCGATGACCTTCTCTTCGAAGCCCTTCACGAGTCGTTTGCGACGCCATGGCTCGACAGCAACTTGGAAGATAAGGAAGAGGAGAACGTTAACACCCATTAGGCCCCAAGTACCCCATGTACTCATTCGGCGAATCTTATCCGACCAGACTTGTTCCTCGTGATAGCGGGAGAGGATGCTCTTGCTCAATTGCGCCGCCGCCTCTTCGGACTCTCGTTCTGCGGCCGACAGGGCATCCTGCGTCTCCATCTCAGCCACTTCGTTGGTGTGATCGTTGCGGTAAAGGTGGGTGAATCTCTCGAGATCTGCGGCAGACCAGGCGTGCTTCCGCTGGAGGAGCTCGTTGACTTCGCGCTGCGAGGCAGAGCGTCGGTTTATCGCTGCTGCGTAGGCATCTTTCGCTTCTCGGACCCGTTGACGGGCTGCTCGGAGTCGTTCCTCTGTTCGTCCGAAGAATTAATGATCAGGGAGGAAGAATTGGAAGTTCCAATCATTTTGGAAACACACCTTGCAATTGTATATCTTTCTTGAGTGCCTCAATGGCAGAGTAGCCTGTCAAATCGTTCAATCGCTGGCCCGCCACGAAAATATTGGATTGGAGGTTGTCCATCATCTCGGTAAATTGTTTGGACAATTGTGACCGGCGTTCTTCCAGGTACGAAGGTAGTCCCTTCTTCTCTGCTGGTTCACGTTTCGGTTCGTTCTTTGCATCTTGGTCGAACCCTTGTAACGTCTCCTGCTCTCCCGCGGCCGGAGAAGGCCGTTGGGTTTCTGCATCCGGCTCTACCTTTGGCGATTCATTGCGGGGCGTCGGCGTTGAGTTTGCATCCTTTGACTGCTGAGTAGCTGCGTCGTCTTTTGATGTGTCTTTCTCATGAGATGAAAATAATGGTGATTGCGACCTGAATTGGCATCGTACACAGACCGAGAAGCTCCGCTGTGTATCTCTCGCAGGTCGAATGTTCGGCCCAGCGGGGGGTAAAAACTGTGGCCGTATCGGGAGCGAAGTCCTCGCAAAATTGGCAGATGACCTAAGCGACTGCCTCAGCAGCAGTGGCATGGGCTGCATGGCCAATTAATGGTAACCTGGAATCCAAGCAAGTTCTTGTTGGATTGTTGTGGTGGAAACTCAATGGCTTAAGCTGACCTTGGATCGGAACAAAAGGCGGAACGGAGAACATGCGGGAAAGGCAGCCCTCTCCTCTCCGATCTGTCGCTACTAACTTGCACCACAAATGATATCGCAGTTGATATACCTCTGGGGACGTTATAATATTAGGATGAATGGTACAATACTTATAAGAAATACATTATCTTGAGTGCAGCGACCCTCGTCCTCTACAGAATAAACCGTGCAAGCTAAGTATGCTGTAAAATTAGACGATGTAATATATTGTTTTCCTTCCTGTTTTCTCGGTTCAACGTGGTGGTATCAATTCATAACGTAACAACCCTTATTCGTTAAGTCCTCATGAAGCATGACATTAAAGCATATCCATCTTACTCAGACGCAATAGATGCCTTGCAAGTTAGATGAAACAGAGCCCTCGACAAAAACGGTCCACCGTTCGGCAATAAGCTGCTGTCGTAAATATTCACCAGCATTCAGTCGTGCGTCTGCACCTTGTGGTCTCCCTTGACAGCTTCGGCATAGGTTGGTGGTGGCCGGGAGTCACCTTGAGCTTGGTCACTGCTTCCTCCCTGTCCTTCCTCATGATGCGGCTTGGGAGCTTGCTGCTGAGGTTGAGGAGCAGGATTCGGCGCTGGTTGATTTTGCGGTGATACAGTGCCATAACCTCTCTGGGATGGATGCTGGATGGGCTGATGGGAGACGTAATAGTATGTCACACGACCACTTTCAGTGTCCCGTCTCCCGTCGGCATGGCCAGGAATGGGCTCGTAGTTCGGGTCATCATAGTCTGGTTCGGGGTACTTGAGTATGATGTACCATGCGTGTAGAAGACCGGGGACGTAGCCTAGGCAGCAAAGTGCAAGGTTGATGATCGAGTCGGCTGTGCAGATGCCTACTTTAATCCACACTGAGAGGATATGTTAGCCGGTGCTAGATAAACATGAAGAAGACCACGTCAAAAGGAACTTCTCACCTGCAACTGGTGGAAAGAAAATAGCGAGAATCCCAAGAAAGATGTCTGAACCGCACATGGTTGCGTTCGAAGAGGGAATGGTGTAATTAAACTGTCTGACTGTACAACAGTTTGGGACGAATGAAGAATTTGCCAACGTGTCTACACTGCGCAATAAACTGCCACAAAGAATGAGTAGCTTTACAGATATGAGGCTCTGATAAATGTGACGACGACGGGTGGTTCTCACAATGATAAGTAGGATGGAAGCCTGCCTCAGCCTTCTGCGTCCGTCATATGACGTCGGTACATGTCACCTGATTTTGCGGGACGTTGATGCCATAATTTTCAGGCTTCATATCTCTGATGGGACATGAAACAGTCTTTGCATGTTACGATGTATATAAACTCAAATGACTTTTTACGGACAAGAAATGCGACAAAGCGCGAAGAGCATATGAACAGTCAAGTAGAGGGGAGTTCTATTGGTCTTCAAGACAAATTTAATCGTTCTGTGTCTGATCTGGATCTGCTCTATCGCACCAAGAGACCTCATGATCCACATCATGAATGATTTGCATGGCCGACATTGTGATGTTGCTTTGCAGCCAAGCCCTAGATGAATGCCCGAGCGACTTGAGATAGGGATCAGCCAAGCATTGACAGCTCAATATACATTATTGGACATAAGGAGGACTCGCTGGCAAATCCGAAACGACAGGTTAGATTGAAAAACATGGAGAAATTATTCCTATTGTCAAGAGATCTCTGTCTCACGCTCATACTCGGTAGTGCTCCCTACTTCACTCTCTTCATACCGACACCCGGTAAGAAAAGATAAATCTTATTAGTTAGTTCGTCCTTGATCAGTAAGGGACCTTCCCTCATCCAAGGAACACTGGGTCGGTGGGTTCTCCCGTGTTCCACAACGAATCGAAGTCGAACAACCAAAGTGGAAACATCAAAATATGATCTCTATATCAAAATTGAGATAACGTAAGGGTTGACGATCTTAAAACACCACATGACAATGACAGTAATGGTTGATATGAGCTGGCTTGATAGCAGATGGCCTCCCAAGGCCCGAGTGTATACTGAGAAGGGCTGCCACGTCAATTGACAACATCGAAGCTTCATTTACCTGCGTTTGTTCGAGTACGGAGTATTTATGTAGCACTGTCGCACTCGGGCAGTCTGCCTGTTGCGCTCGCTCCCTAAGGTAGCTGCCTGAAGGTACTTTTCTTTTGCATCGAATACTTACCTACTACTTCCGTATAAGATTAGCACCAGTGGATCTCGACCCTTATTATTAGTTATTCTCACATACGGATTCCAACAGCTTCCGGCACCGCAAACCGCAAATCGCCAAGGTCAGTTTAGTTCTAGCCTCGTTTTAGTGGAGTCTGTTTAATTACCTATCACAAACTTTCGAGGCTAAAGTGACCGGCAATGTGCAGCAGGACTACCTAAGTTATTGTGCCGTACCTGACTATCTATCTACTGGCTAAGCGGCCAATACCCCCTTTTATTATTATTATTCTTCTTCTTCTGCGCCGCGCCTTGGATGCAGACTGCCCTCTGCAGACTGCGAATGTGCGATAATCGAGTCGACTTGGGGTTCAAGACCTTACTTTGACCCTTGAAACTTTGAAAAGCTTTTCTGTGATCTGTGCTACGAAGTCCTGTCTTCCAGATATTATTGTTATTATATTATAATTGAAGTAAGCCCGTCCTCTCTTTCTCCACGTCCGTTTGGGAGCGCCCAAACCGTTTGTTACTTTCTCTTTCTGACGCTACTCATCCTTAGGGCCAACACTCTCCCTGTCGTTTTCTTTCCGGCCCATTGTCTCTGTTTCTCTGACTCTTTTTATCCCATCTTTGGTACGCCGTTTTTCGCGGACTTCTCAGACCTTATTTTCCTCGGAACCCAAGTCACTCGTTCGCCTTCACTTTTGCACCACTGTTCGTCACCATTCATCATTTGCAACACTCTTTTCCGTCCATTCCTCCAGGTTGACGCGTTGCGTCTCCCGTCTCGTTGACTTGCGCAATTTCCCGCCAATTGAGTTGCGATAATCATTTCGGGGGAGAGACAACACCATGAGAACCGAGTTCGGTTACTTCGCTTGATAACGCATCTGAAATTCTGTCTACATCCGAGCTCCTCAACTTTCGTTTTCGTTCTTTCGAGGTTACCCTGTAGGGTCAGGAGCGAGATGGCAGGCACCTGCATCTCTCTATCGGGGTCCACGCAGTGCCCTGCTTTCAATGGCTCATCCATATCAACCAGCTCGAGTCTCTACACAGATTTGTAGGCCATATCCCATGTATCCACCTGCTCGCTGCGTGCTGACCTCCTGGTAGTCCGTTCATGCAATATGTTTCGGATCTGAACGATTTTGATCGAGAATTGAGCAACTACGTGAACGGCTCGTATGTCAAGCAAAAGTAAGTATAACTCCGACCAGGGTCGCCCGTAGCTTCGACTAAAGCGTCATGATCATATTTAGGTATATCGACTATCTGGGATGCCAAGGAGTCAATCTCACCCACACGAATAACTACTATGCCCGCTATACCACCAGTACACTATGCAGCGGACTCGTTCAAAGCTCAAAGACCTACTGCAATCTTTCTGATCAGCAGTCAAGGCCGCTTTGTGCCGACACTTGCGCCTTGATGGCCACGAGCGAGGAGGAAATCGTCGTCAATGCTGACCTTTGCCGGACAACAGGCAGTAATTATATGAGTCAAATCCGGTCAGATTTTACCATATGCTCCTTGCCTGCCGACTCACTCACTGGTACTTGCATTTCCGGCGCGGATAACGAACCCCACGAGTGCGGCTATAGGTCGAATCTGATCGGACTATGTGGATTCTGCGGAGCCAGTTCACCCAACTCGACTGATTCATGCTGTGTCAATGCGAATGCCGCGAGCCGATGCGAAGGCGTTACGATTCCCACCCCAACTGCGACTTTGCGTCCAATATTCACCTCAACCTCCAACCCGACAGCAGATGCCGGTGCTCATGATGGTCTATCGGGAGGGCAAATCGCAGGCATCGTCATCGGATCTGTTGCGGGAGCCGCCCTCCTGGCAGCTCTTATCTTTTTGGTCCTCCTTTGTCTACGGCGCAGACGCAAGTCACGGGATTATAGTGCACTTAATAAGCCCAATCCGCAACGGAAAGGATTTCTGTCGCCGCAACAGGATAAAAATCAGCAAGGCTTACCCTCGGTGCCAGGCGGACGGGTGGCCAGGATGTCTGCTCTGCGCGAGGTCCCAAGCTTGTCTCCCGCGCGCTCTCGTAACTCTCCGGCTCGCTTTGAAGGTGCCAAGTACAGCGATACGTCCGACTCGGAAGGTTACGGGGCGAGCCCGGGCGCAATGTCAAAGAGAATTCCGCCGGTCACTGGAAGACGCCATGGATCTCTCTCCAGCAACTCCGCCCTGGCTGGCGCATATAGTGACTCCTCGCCTCGCTCAGGTACTAATGGCCAATTCTCTTCACCCGAAGGCGTTGCGAGTGGGCAGTCGGAGCAATTGTCTTCGTTCCAAGATTATTACTCACCTGATGACATACGCCCCGGTGATAAGGTAGCTGTCCTCTGGGCCTATCAGCCGCGGGCAGGGGATGAGTTTGCCTTGCAACGCGGAGAAATGTTGAAGGTGATTGGCATTTGGGACGATGGATGGGCGACTGGCATTCGCGTGCCGGAGACCGCAGAAGACTATGACGCCAGGCACCGCGAGCAGCGTGACAGCGGTGTATCTAACGGATCACAGAGATTGGCAGCCTCTCCATCGCCTACTGGAGATATTAAGGCATTCCCGCTGGTCTGTGTCTGTCTTCCACAGCATTGGAGAAAGATCATCGAAGGCGGGCAGGATGAAGATGTTTCGTGACCTCCAGCCTGACTTTTTGACTCAAAGATTGCCACAACCTTATGATTCTTCGCACCGTCCGGAGGTCTTATGCTTTCATGACACAGCATCCTTGTCCTCTCCCATCAGCATCGCACCCATCGGCAGGATAGGAGCGATACAGTTCCCCAATAGGGAGGAGTAGGGTATCCTAGTTAGTATGGCTCTACGCCCTCCGTCTTGTCACTTTGATGTACCAAAGACATGATGACTTCTTCCATCCGATTCCTCACTCATTTCCTTCGCTGTCGCGAGCATACAATGCAGCTACTGGACCATCATTTTATAGTGGTCGCGAAGCGGCTCGACGGATGCTTGTGAAACGACTTTTTACGGTTCATATTGATATACCCCATTTTACGCCTGTGAGCCATTTCTTGTTTGGCCTTGATGCCTTTCTATTCTATGATAGTTCACGTTCGCTTCTGGCTCCTCTCAGACCTGTCGCAAGATCAGGTAGCTGTGGGTTGAGCACGATTGTTGACCATCTCGATACATATTGATAGATGTACATAAATAAGAGCCCTTCTCGCGTCTGCCTTATGGCACTGCGAGCATAACATCTATAAAACCTCCAATTTATCTCATCCAGTGCGACCCACAAATCCACAGTTACCTTACCCTAGGCTTAAGATTCGCTCATCATACTAACTCTGTATCAGAGCTAAATCTCGGAATTTTAGGAAGTCGTCTTCGAGTGTGACACAAAGGTCACATCCGTAAGGCTACTGTGGATTACTTGACGTTAGATGGCTCGCTAGGGGCTAGTCGTCGTCGGGTCCCATGGTTGAGTTCCATCAATGGATGATAATATGGAGCTATGATGTAGGCAGACCCGATAGCTGTGATATGGCAACGTTGTCTTAAACATAGGAAACGTGATAACTGTGTTGCCTGGCTGTATACAGCGGTTCAGGCCTTCTATATCATATGCCTGTAAGAAATATATATCAAGAGCAAATAAGACTTGTTAACATACAGGCAGCAAAGTAATGGGTACAGATATAAGTTAACTGTGGTCATCAACCTGAAAGAAAACAGAGTGTATAGATTCAATCTTGCAACTCTAGGGCTTTCTGGACACTATCAATCTACAAATTGCTGATATTCTCACAACCTAGCGAAAAAGGAGAACGAAAATCATCCATTCAGGGGGGGGAAAACAAGAAAAGGACGGGCTGTGCTTGTGGTGCGAGTGAAGGTCACGTGCAGGAACCCACCCCCACCATCACATCAACAACGCAAGCACAACAGCAAAGCCCCTCTATCTCCATCTCCGTTTCGCAATCCTCCACTCTCTATTATTTCACCCCCTTTTGCCCCAAACTGCCACTATTGGTAAAATATTTCGGGAGCCTTCTTAATGTAAGTGAGCATTGACTAATTAGCAAATCTCAAGGTATCGAGAAGATTCAAGTGGGATCAACTAACATCGCGTGCGAATGCAGCTTATCATCTCCTAAATCAGCCTCGGGGTCTATATCACACAGGCAACCATGTCGGTATGTCATAATCATTCGGTTTACTCCTCCCCGTAGGGGCACACTTACTAATGGTATTTCTTACCTCGCAGCTCGCATCCGGGTATGTTGACAGTTGTACCTTTTCCGCTTCCTACGGCGGCTCGGCACTAGCCAAACCGATTGCGCATTCGTACTGACGGACCACCTTTTCTGCTATAGTGTCTCTATCGCAGATGAGTGCATCACTGCATTCAATGAGTTCCGCATGAGCGGCAACAAGGCCAACAAGACCAAGTTCATTATCTTCAAGATCGCCGATAACAAGAAGGAGGTTGTCATCGATGAGGTCTCGCAAGAAGAGGACTACGAGGTCTTCCGTAGCAAGCTTGATGCTGCCAGGGATAGCAAGGGTAACCCTGCTCCTCGTTATGCAGTCTACGATGTCGAGTATGATCTCGGTGGCGGTGAGGGCAAGAGGTACGATTGCTTGCTTCGCTCTGAAATGACACGGGCTTCTGTGGCTGACCGAATCTGTAGAAGCAAGATTGTTTTCATCTCCTGGGTTCCCTCAGACACACCTACTCTGGTATGGCTTGGGTCTTCCATTATTTCTGTCAAAGTTGCACATTCTGACGGTCACCATTCTAGTGGTCCATGATCTATGCCAGCACACGGGAGAACTTGAAGAACGCTCTCAACATCCACACCTCCATCCACGCCGATGACAAGTCCGACATTGAGTGGAAGGCTGTTCTGACTGAGGCCAGCGGTGGTAAGGCCGGTAAATAGACGACGGCACCGGCTGGGTCCGGGCCAGTTGACCTAGTGTGTGTGTGTGCTAGTTATCGCACTAATCTCATATGAGGGTCGAGAGTACCTCCAAGCGACCGACTCGATGACCCTTCCAGCACACACACATAGTTTCAATATGAGATTGTTACGACTTGACCGCCTCTATAGTGACCGTACCATCTTATTGCGATTGTCATCGTGAACAAAACGATTGGGAGGGGGATTTTCTTTCTTTCATGAGTCAGCGTTTGCCTGTACAGAATATTGCTGCCTTGCTATGGGGTGTGATTTCGACGGTTCTTTGTAGAGTAGAATACACGATATCACCTCCACAAATCATCCCTCTTTCTTTTCGCAGGGGTTGCCGTTGTAGAGATGAGTAATAGTGAGGATCAACCAAAACGGCAAGTCGCCCGGTCGGAATTGGATATCTCCATTGTAGCGGATAAGGCAGTGTAGGCACTGAAAAATGAAAGAGTCTTTAGCGAATGGATGTGCGACCTCGATAAACTTATGATGTCCTTGATGAGGGAACGGCCGGGTTGTCAGAAGACAGGTGTGGCTGTCGACCAATCAGAAGGCCGCCAAAACGGACTAAGCTTGTCGTTCGGAAACTCGACTTTCCACCTCAAACCACAGTCAAACATCGTCTCTGTCTCCTCCTCCACCCACTGACCAGCCTCAACCAGCCTCCAATCCGGGGAATTGACGCTCTTTTATACCGGAGAGTATCGTCTACTCAATTGACACGTTTTTCGTCGCCTTTGCGCCCTCACGCACATAATGTTCCTCCGGTCCGTTTCTCGGGCTGCTGCTCGCAGCTCTGCCATGCCCAGCACGGCCACTCGCTCCTACCGCACTGTTCCTAGCCCAATTGCTTGCCTGAACACTCGTCCTCAGCCTCAGCAGAAGTCCATTGCTTCCCAGCAGACCCGCGCCTCTTCCGAGCACGCCATCTCGAATCCCACACTCGCCGGTATCGAGAAGCGCTGGGAGGCCATGCCTCCCCAGGAGCAGGCCGAACTGTGGATGCAGCTGAGGGATCGTATGAAGGTTGACTGGCACCAGATGACTCTGCAGGAGAAGAAGGCTGGTATGTATCTCTCTTTGGCGCGGATACCAGACATTCCGCGGTAGTCAGATTTTTGTTGACCAGAGACTCTAGCCTACTGGATTGCTTTCGGTCCTCACGGCCCCCGCGCGGCTCCTCCCAAGGGCGAGGGCATGCGGATTTTCTGGAAGGTCACTCAGCTGACCCTGGCCTCCTTCGCCGTCTTCTACGTGATCCATCTGTTCGCCAAGCCCAAGCCTAAGACCATGTCCAAGGAGTGGCAGGAAGCCTCCAACGAGTACGCCAAGGTACGTGTATATGGCTGTTATGAGGAGCTTCTTAGTGGAGCTTTTTTACTCTTGTGTCGTTGGATAGTTATTGACATTGGATTTACAACAGCGCGAGAACATCAACCCTCTCTACGGTATTAGCAGTGAGGGCTACGAGGGCAAGGGCTTCGTTCAGAGCCCTCCTGCCGAGAAGTAAATTGAAGGATAAGTATCTGGGAGGAACAGGTGTGGCATTCAGACACGCTGGGTAGGCAGTGCTGGAGTTGAGTGCCCGTCCCCTCGTCCTTTCTGTTGACCTTGGCTGCGTGCTTAGGTCCATTGGACAATTTTGACTTCGCCCTTGTCTTCCAATCTTGACAATTCGACTTTCGAAAAACCTTGTGTATCTCGTACTGTGCAATAATCAATGTATCTCCTTTGTAGCCATAGATCATTTGTTGCATTGTCTTCCTACTTTGTTACTGGTATCGATGACGTAGAGTTTGCTCTTATAGATACTTACACACCACAGTACGCACATCCAATGGGCAATTCTCTAACGCTGTGCCCATTTATACAGCTTCAAGAGCTGCTTCAATGGAGATATATGACCGAAAGGCTGTATACTGGCAATGGCCTGTCTACGTGTTGGCCAATGCTAATGCAGCGTAAGCTAAACGACAGCTCCCTATAATTGAAGTTGCAGGTAGTTCTCAGTTCATTTTCCTACATTGAGAACAACATTGGCCTTTGCTATCTGGCAGCTTCATAAGCTGAAAGGAACTTGATACCCTGCCATGGGTAATACGCAGTACAAGCAGATTACAAGAACACGTCAGAAATTTCCATAGCAGCGTTCGTCCGAGGAGAGGAGCGGGGATTGCTCTCGGAGCCACCGGTACTAAAGAGCAGATAAAAGAGGATGAAATAAATTGATCGGTTCATTTGAGGGAGTCGAATAAGTAATGATATGTTGGTTGACCTGGTGATAAGCTACATGCATCATTGTGAAAACGAGTATCAAATTTTGATGGGGTTGGTGTACAACTTGTACAGGTATCCAAAGCTCCCTGCATCCGGGCGCCAAGAAGTCTCCCGTTTGTGTGTGCGAATTCCCCTAGGTGACCACACCAGGGCAAGTATGGAGATGTGGAAACCCGGACAAGATGGGCTCGATGGCCGGAAGAACACAGCATCTGACCATGAGGCATTGAAGATGAAAGAAAGATGACTTTCGAGATAGCGGTGCTTTCTTAACCTCAAGAATATGAGGCTTGTTGCGCACTGGGTTTTCTTGCGCATTGCTCGGTACATCACGGGATCGTCGGCAAAACCGCCCCGGAAAGGCTAAGCCGGACACAGTCGCCCGTGTCCACCTCAACCTCAACCTCTTCCCTTCCCTTCCCTCTTTCTTCCCTCTCCCCATCTTCTTGTCCCTTTGACCTCTTAAACCCCATTTTCGCTCTTAAACACCATCAAAATGTTCAAGAGGTTTGTTGCACCGCCAATTCTCGCTGAATCGCCTTTTTTCCCATTTTTTCGCCCGCTAACCTCGGTTTTTTGGATGATTTAGCGGTCTTGCCCGGACCTTCGGGAGGGCTGCTTTTGCTCGACCTTCCCCCGTCGCTCGTCGCGCAATCCAGCCCCTCAGATCCAATGGCCTTCCTTCCCTGGCCAGGTTCGCCAGCTCTGAGGCTGGTTCCGTCGGAAAGATTCACCAGGTCATTGGTGCCGTCGTCGACGGTACGTCCGAATATCCCCGTTGAAAACCCTGTTGGCAGCCTCCGCGAAAATCTTTTCCTGGCGTCAAATCCATCTCAACAGCCATCAAAATGGGGTCAATAGCAATGTCAAAACACGATATCTGACTCTAGCCTACAGTGAAGTTCGACGGTGACAAGCTCCCTGCCATTCTCAACGCCATTGAGACCGAGAACAACGGCCAGAAGCTCGTCCTTGAGGTCTCTGTATGTATTTGATATCTGATATCGAACCTCGATGACATCAATCGTGCCTTGGCTGACCGAGTAACAGCAACACTTGGGTGAGAGTGTCGTCCGTACAATTGCTATGGATGGTAAGCTCCCGCCCTCTCTGCTCATAATCGCCGGCGTGACACCTAGATTTTTCTTGGCGATATCGGCGCTGCTTTTCCATCGAATCGACTGACATATGTCCGGCTTTCAGGTACCGAGGGTCTGACCCGTGGTGCTCCCGCCCGCGACACTGGTGCTCCCATCACGATCCCCGTCGGCCCTGCCACCCTTGGCCGTATCGTCAACGTCACTGGTGACCCCATTGACGAGCGTGGTCCTATCAAGACCACCAAGTTCGCTCCTATCCACGCTGAGGCCCCCGAGTTCATTGAGCAGTCGACCTCCGCTGAGATTCTGGTCACTGGTATCAAGGTCGTCGACCTTCTCGCCCCCTACGCCCGTGGTGGTAAGATTGGTCTCTTCGGCGGTGCCGGTGTCGGCAAGACTGTCTTCATCCAGGAGTTGATTGTGAGTTTATTCCACATTGTTCTGCTAATTCTCGCTCGATCTTCTCACTAACGCACCTCGTGTAGAACAACATTGCCAAGGCCCACGGTGGTTACTCCGTCTTCACTGGTGTCGGTGAGCGTACTCGTGAGGGTAACGATCTGTACCACGAAATGCAGGAGACTGGTGTCATTCAGCTCGAGGGTGAATCCAAGGTCGCCTTGGTGTTCGGTCAGATGAACGAGCCCCCGGTGCCCGTGCCCGTGTCGCCCTTACCGGTCTGACCATCGCCGAGTACTTCCGTGACGAGGAGGGTCAGGACGTGCTGCTCTTCATTGACAACATTTTCCGTTTCACCCAGGCCGGTTCCGAGGTGTCTGCCCTGCTCGGTCGTATCCCCTCTGCCGTCGGCTACCAGCCCACCCTGGCCGTCGACATGGGTGGTATGCAGGAACGTATCACCACCACCAAGAAGGGTTCCATTACCTCCGTCCAGGCCGTCTATGTGCCCGCTGACGATCTGACTGACCCTGCCCCCGCCACCACCTTCGCTCACTTGGACGCCACCACTGTCTTGTCCCGTGGTATCTCTGAGTTGGGTATCTACCCTGCTGTCGACCCTCTCGACTCCAAGTCTCGTATGCTCGACCCCCGTATCGTCGGTGAGGAGCACTACGCCGTCGCTACCCGTGTCCAGCAGATGCTCCAGGAGTACAAGTCCCTCCAGGATATCATTGCTATTCTGGGTATGGACGAACTTTCTGAAGCTGACAAGCTCACCGTCGAGCGTGCTCGTAAGCTCCAGCGTTTCCTGAGCCAGCCTTTCACTGTCGCCCAGGTTTTCACTGGTATCGAGGGTAAGCTGGTCGACCTCAAGGACACCATCCGCAGTTTCAAGGCCATCATCAACGGTGAAGGTGATGATCTTCCTGAGGGTAAGTTTTGAACATCGTCCATTTTCTGAAAATTCGAAATCAATGCTGATGTCCTTCTTTTAGCTGCCTTCTACATGGTTGGTGACTTCGAGTCTGCCCGCGCCAAGGGTGAGAAGATCCTGGCTGAGCTCGAGGGCAAGGCCTAAATGTAATATTGTTTTTTAAGCGCCCTTTTCTTTTTATGGTTGTTAGACATGGAATCTCTTTCTCCAGTGTTCCGGTTTCTTTCGATGCGTGTACAGTACTCGAATTAAGGAAAGGGATTCGAAAGAAAGAAAGTTTCCATGAAAAAGGAAAAGGAGCACTTGCATCTACCCTTGTAAGTCTGGATGGAAACTTCCGGGCTTGTGTTACACTATGTGCTCATGTAAGTAAGTTTAAAATGACCACAGCCAGCCTGAATACCCACTGGGCTGGGACAATTGTACCATTTCTTTTGTTGGATTGAAAGAGTCTTCGCGTAGTTGATTCCTTGCAATTGTAGCCATGACCTACTTCAGAGTAATTTCTTCCTATGAATGTCGTTTCTCTGTAGCGTTGCTTCTTGCAGCAATGAATGCAACTAAACGTAGGTGGACAAAGCGACATACTCGCTGCAAAATATAATTCAGTCAGTCAGACAGCATTGGAGGTTTATTAGGCACAACATGACGACAGTTCATTGAGCACTGAGCATGCTGCTGGTATTCTCGTTAGGGATCAGAAAATATATATGTCGCAAGACAGCATGATTTGTAAAGTACGGGACAATATCTACATTGAATTGCGCAGAGACATAAATATGTTATCGAAGTAATCAGGATGAACGTTTATATAGACGAAGCTTTTGTGCGTTCGTGCTTATTAGATAGCGCAAATATATTTGATATCAATATGTAATGACTAGTATCGAACGCGACCACAAGTGGCATGAATGCATTAAAATGACTACAGTGTTTCTTCCAGGGCGAGAACCTGCCATTGAAGCTTCTGTTAGCTCGTGAATCGTCAAATGGGAGCGGAAGGGTGGATGGAGTACATACCAGCGCTGTTCGGGTAGGAAGATAGACCTGCAGGTAATTACTACGGCCGTTCCAGGACATATTGGTCGTGAAGAAGCGGGTCTCCTTGAGATTACGGCCGAAGCCGCCAAATTCCGGATCATCAGTGTCCAGGACGATGCGGTAGGTACCTGCTTGGTCGACACCAACACGGTAGTCGGTGAAGCTCTCTGTGGGGTGGAAGTTGAAGATCCAGAGCAGACCTGCGCGCTCGAAGGCGAGGACCTTGTCGACCTCATGCTTGAGGCTCACGTAGGCTTGTGGAGAGTGCAGCCAGCCGTACTTCTCCTCGGTCAACTGCATGCCGCGGTCGAACTCGTTGAGGAACTTGTAGCGGAGGAGATGGTCCTCGGTGAGGTTCAGTTGGCGACGGGCATACCAGAAGGAATTGTCGTTTCCGGCACGGGGGAAGTCGAGCCATTCTGGGTGGCCGAACTCGTTGCCTTCGAAGTTGAGGTAGCCCTCTCCTCCCAGGCCGTGGGTGACCAGTCGGATCATCTTGTGCAGAGCCATGCCTCGTTCGATGGTGGGGGTGAATTCGGTCAGCACGGACATGTGGGTGTACATTTCCTTGTCGCAGAGCCACATCATGAGCGTTTTGTCGCCGACAAGGCTGAAGCAAGTTAGTTTTTATGGATTGACATTGCAGATACCGGGAGGGGACTAACGCTTGATCATGGCTCTCTGCATAGGCGATTGTCTTCTCGCCGTGACGTCTGTTGGTCAGGGTGAAGGCGAGATTGCCCATGTTCCACTCGCTATCGGGCTTTTCCTTCAGAAGTTTGATGTACATGTCTGGGATGGCCATTGCGAGGCGGTAATCGAACCCAACGCCACCGAGGGAGTGAGGTAAACAGAGGGCCGGCATTCCGGAGACGTCTTCTGCCACGGTGATGCAGTTGGGATACAGAGTATGGAGCATCTCATTGGCGAGAGTCAGGTACATCACACCCTCATCATCAACAGAAGGGCCAAAGTATTCGTGGTATCCACCTGAGAAACCACTTGACGACAAGTTAGTGGAGGAGTCAAGTATTTAAGTCGAAGAGTCCACTCACGTTCCAATACCATGGTGTACATAAAGCATACTAGTGACTCCGTCGAAACGGAAGCCATCGAAGCCGTATTCCTCCATCCAGAAACGAAGGTTGCTCAGAAGGAAGCGCAGGACCTCGTGGTGGCCGTAGTTGAACAACCGACTGTCCCACAGTTCATGCCGGCCCTTTCCTCCTTCGTGGAAATAAAGGTGGTCTGTTCCATCAAACATGTTCAGTCCGTCATCGACGTTCTTTGACGCATGACTGTGGACAACGTCGAGAAGCACTGTCAAGCCCATACTGTGTGCCGTATCAATAAGCTCCTTCAGCTCGTCAGGTGTGCCGTAACGACTGCTCGCTGCGAAGAAGTTGTTGACCTGGTATCCGAAACTGGCGTAGTAGGCATGTTCCATAATCGCCATGAGCTGGATTGCATTGTACCCCAAGTACTTTATCCGAGGCAGCATGTTCTTCGTGAACTCTTTGTATGTCGCAACCCGGGTCTCGGGGGATGAGATACCCACATGGGCCTCATAGATGCGGAGGCTCTCCGGTTTCTTCGGGCGGGAATGTTTGAATTTGTACCGTTCAGACTCGGGAGGATTCCAGAACACGGACTCATAAATGGGGGACACTTTGAGGTCCTGGACGACACGCTTGATCCACGCAGGTATCCGGTAGATTCGCTCTCCGCTGGGAATGTCCATCGCAATCTAGACGATGTGTAAGCAACACAGGGCTGGGGGAGGTGCTTATCACGAGTAATTACCTTGACCTTGCTATCATGCGGGATAGCTGGTATGCCGTCCTTCGAGGGCACTGTAACTTCCCACACGCCAAAGTCGTCTTTTGTCATGGGATGCGCTGTTACATCCCAGTTGTCTGCTCAAATCAGTATGCGCTCCAACGATCGCTACACTATGGAGTATGACGTACTGAAATCACCGACTAGGTAAGCTCGCACAGCATTGGAAGCCCACTCCCGATATGTGATGTCTCCATTGGCATTGACATTGAATCCAAATTTCTCGTAGCCCTACGATAGAGAATGCAGTTTCGTTAGCTCAGATGTCAATTCCACCATGGGAATGATTGTCCTTCGAACGCTAGAACATCAAGGCCAGAACAGAGGCAGCTATGAAGTATACTAACCTTGCTAAACTTGTCTAGACCACCCTCATTTTCGTTGATTGTCTTGATCCAGTTTTCGACCAACCCGAATCTGTGTCGTAGAGCGTCGCGGAACGGTTCAAGCCAAGGATCCAACTGGATGACACCTGTAGAGTATGAGTGACCTGGCAGGTCAACGGGGTTGATTTCGAGTTCTAGCTGACCTGTGCCATCTGGAGGCGCTGATTGAGCGATATTTGAAGCTTCAGTCGACGCCATGGTTACAGAAGATAGCCCGTGATAAGCTCTCTGCGGATGATGGAATGTCGCAAGAAACGTGACGGAGGAGATACTCAGCTCAACCAACAACGTCCAATTCGAAAATATTTAGAAAAAGGGCGGGTGACGAGATATGAAGTAATTTTTTTTTTCTTTCTACACAATGTAACGATTGCGGAGGACAGGGAGGAGGGAAACCTGCTTTTGTCCCTGAGCAAGCCCCAAGCCCATTGCGGGGGAGGAGCATATCTAGGCTAGCCTAAGGCAGAGATCGAAGGCCAAAGCTCCCAACACATGTGACATCATCTTTTCTCAACCTTTCCTTTCTCTACTGACCGGGCCCAATTTTTCTTCGTCTCAACGCTTGGACGACCCCTGCATTGTGTTATTAAAGTCAATTGCCACCTGTTGATAAGGGACGATGCAATTGATTCGTCTACTAAGGTGGAACAAACTGTTGCAACGCACAACCTCCCCTTTCTGTTCCTTGCGGGCCGGTCTGGAGCTCTCCACTTTGCAGCTCGAACCGCCGGACCAGACCCCTCCATGAGACTACGGTCGTGCCCGCATCGAGAAAGGCATGATTTGAAGATGCGACGAAAAGTCAGCTACAGTAATTTCAGGCCTCTACAGTTATACGCACTTTGATGACAATGACCGTTCGTTTATGAGCCATTACTACCTAGAATTGAAGCGGGAATCCACCTTTGATTCGCGGATGCCCCCCATGAGACTGAGTGGCAAAAAATCGCTTAGTGATGTCTCACTGACCTGCAGTGACTTGGTTGTTTCTTCAAGATTCAAACTAGTTGACAACTTAGCTAATCATGCAGAATGAAAATGTGTCAAGCTAATGGAATTCTATCCAGCAGAACTGAACCCGGAGCTCGTCCGGTATGATTAAAAGGTTACACAAAAAGCTCGGGAAACTGCATGGACTCGAACCGTATCATCGAGCTCAAGATGGGGGATACAATACCATTTAGAGGCAGAATTATGCTGCACTCCCGAAGTGGTGGTGACCATGACGGTGTCTCGATGGTCGATTGCCGCCTGCGGGTACTGGACTAGGATTACCCGAAGGAACAGGACCAGCACTCTCAGGAGCTGGCTGACCAGTTTCCTGTGAAGCGCCCTGCACCACTTGCTCTGACGGGGATGCGGCTGCAGGTGTCTCCACGCTCATGTCAACCGCGCGTGCCTTGGCAGCTTTGGTAGACTGCTTAGACATCAAAGCGCTGTAGGGGGTTGCACCAGGATAGAAAGATGTGGGAATGGTCGGGATCGGAATTGACTTGGTGCTGCCGAAATCAGTCGACAAATCCAAAGGCATCTTCGCCGCCGAATAGCCTGACGGGGCACTGCTGACGGTGGTTGTGGTCACTGCATAAGAGGTGTGACTAGATCCTGACTTTAGGCAGAATCCAGAACCATAGGCACTTTGGCACGAGTACCACTGCTTGCTGCCGGTTTCGGTCCACATGGCAAAGTCTTCAATGAGGATGTTGTAACAGGGCACTTTGTCAGGACAGATGATCTTGATGGGCCCGCGTTGTGCGCCGTTCGCCTCGGTTCCCTTCCAATTCTTGATCGTAATGTTGCTCAGTTCGACACCATCTCCAGAGACGGCGCTCATGCTGCTCCAGTAGCTGTCGATGTCCAAGGAGTAAGCGTTGCCGT